TGTCGAAGTCTAATCGCTTGCTGCGAACCATGCGCTTGACGAGGTCAGCGAAGTCGGATTCTCCTCTTCCAGTGAGAAGCACGCTCAGCGCGTCCTTCTGGGCCATGGAGGATTCGACGAGTTCGACAATCTGTTCATTCCACCAGCCTTGCCATGCGCGCGCTTCTTCCTTGTCGATGCCTTCGCCCGTTGCCGCGAGAATGCTCGAGTCGTGCCACCAGCCTCCGTTGAGGAACATGTCGGGTGATCCCAGCTGGCCTATGGTCGCGCTGTTCCATAGCTGCTTGTTCGGCAGAGGACTTGCGAAGACTGCAAGATATCAGCTCTAGTTGCGATGGAGAGTCGCCATGTACATACGCGTATTGTCGAAGTCGTAGATGTGGATTGCCTTGACGTCAGGTACAGAAGGTAGCTCTTTTTCGTCACACGACCACCTCTTTAGCGCGGTTACAGTGTGGTATGTTGCCTTTCCATTTGGCCCGGCGACAGCAGGCCGGGTTGAAGTTGCTAGCATAGCTGGTAATGAGCGTCGGATAGAGGGCAAAGTGACGTGTCTGATAGCGGAGATGAGCATTCAACGCGAGGAATGTGCTGCAGGGTGAAACAAGAGATGCGCGACGAATTGCACGCCCTTGGACACGTGCTGCGAGCGGGAAGGTGAATGTCGAGCGAACAGGCTGCGTTGGAGGAGGGAAGTCGCGATCACTTTTGGTTGGCCCGAGCTCACTCCCGACGGGATGAGCTCATCATCAGGGCCATATCCTCGTCTCCTCAGCCCGACAGCACGACAAGGAAGCGCATGCCAGCAAGCACGGCTGGCTCGACTCAAGGCGACTCGGAGGACACTTGTGTGATATGTCTCTCTCCAGTAACAGAGAGGGCCATCGCCTCTCCATGCAACCATTACACATTTGACTTTGTGTGTCTAGTGTCCTGGTTGCAGCAACGGTCGACCTGCCCGCTATGTAAGGCACCCCCTTCTCATACAATACATTCTTACTGACGATAAACGCAGGCAAAGCACAAGTTGCAGCTGTACAGTACGACTGGCGCTCTCCCACCGACTACAAAAGCTACACTGTTCAACGTACCCACCCACCTGCAAATGCCTCTCATAGCCGCACCGATCGACCTGGCTCTCTTTTTGCACCTTACGGACTGCCGAGCAGACCACGCGGCCCACGTCGCCCATATTCGCCGCCGATTGAAGATGTTGCGTTGCGCAGACGCAGGGACGTGTACCGAAGGAAACTGTATTCGATGCATGTCGGCAGTAATCGCTTTTCAGGATACAGTGACATTTCTCCCCGTTTGATCGCAAACTCGCCTGAACTGCAGTCGAAAGCACGTGCCTGGATTCGGCGCGAACTCCGCGTTTTTACCTACCTGCACACCGAGTCTGAGGCTTCATCCTCCGATGCAGTTACAACAAGTAGCAACGCTGAATTCTTGCTGTCGTACATTGTCTCTATCCTGAAAATGGTAGATCTGAGGGCAAGTAGCGGACACGCGGAGAATCTTTTGGCGGAATATCTTGGCAGAGAGAACAGCAAGCTTTTCCTTCATGAGCTGAACAACTGGCTAAGAAGCCCATTTACCAAGGTTGAGGTATGGGACCGAGAAGTTCAGTATCAAGAAGATTTAGAACAAGATTAGAGCCCTTTGCCATATGTAGTAGGGGCTTAATCACCCCCTGCAGCATAGACACGCATGAGACATATTACTCGGAAGCCAGCCTTATTCAGCACTCGCTATATCGCCAACTGAACCGCCACACGGAGTCACTCTGCAGATGCATGTGACTATTTCAGGGTGTTCGCACTGCAGTTCGCAGGTTCGCATGATGCCGTTCGAGACGTTGCATCTTGTGGCTAGGCCAACTAAGGCTTAGCACACCAGCACGTTAATGTTTCGTGTCAGTTTCGCGTACCGCACAATTGTCCACTCTGCATCTCCACCACATCTCACATGCCATGCGTAACAAAGCATGGCTTCTTCATACCAAATCCCGATGATAGGACTTCTAATGGTTCAGCCGACAGCATATCCGCGTTATGGCTTTAAGAGTTTGATCCGGAACGCAATAACTTGTGCTTTCGACAGACTATGGACACAGACATTGTTTCGACTTCTTCGCCTACTTTGCTTGGTTGGGTCTTGATGTTTCGATAATGCAGCAACGCTGCTGCACCCTGGATTAACCTTCCTTAGCATCGCCCCGCCACAGCGGATGCACGATGTGCTTCATATGTGGGTAGGTAGACACAGCTGCAATACTCTACCTTCTTTCCTTCTCTTGTCAGTTCGCTGCGGAAGGATTCTTCTTCACGCTTTCAATTCTTGTTTCTAGTTTGAGTACACTATTGGCGCTGGATCGCTCTTTTTTAATAATTAATTCTATTCACGGCAAAACTGTGAATCCTGCTGTAAAGCCCGGAGCTTGCATACCTGCGCCTCACGACCACCCCTTGAGAATCAAAATGCGTTCGTCCGTCGTACTATTCGGCGCTTTTTGCGGCCTCTCAACAGCAAATCCGCACCCATGGATGTACGGTGTTCCGGACTATCCTGACCTTGATATGAACGAGGTCATGACGCAAGCAGATGTAGACCTGATGATGGCAGCAGCAGTTGAGAACAGTACTACCGCCTCGGGCTCAGAAGGTGCTCTGAACTCGTCGACCCCCTCATCGGCTTCTCCTGGACAAGAACCTTGTGCGGTTGTCAGTATGGCCATAGCAGCTCTACCCTCTGGAGCCCGACCTGTCGTTCCTGCAGAGTTGGGAGTAAAATGTCTGCAGTCTGTGCCTCTTGACAAGGAAGGAAATGTCAAGTTGATCGACGATCTCAAGGTCATGGTCAAATGGCAATCGAATGTCGCTTACCTCAAAAACCCACCGAAAGAATACACCGAAGAGCCCGTCGACATCATAGGCGAGCTGGACACGATGCAAAAACAAGTCGCTGCCGGTAACTTCAAGACCGAGTACGACTTCCAGCTGAAGATGCTGAACCTCTTTACCAAAGCTTACGACAACCACTTTGCTTATCAACCCGATATTCTTGCTTCGGCAATGCAATTCCAAAGACCCACCGGATCGGAATTGGTCTCTATTTCTTCGGATGGCATGGCACTTCCAGAGATATATACGTACAGAGATGTTGTGAAAGCCAATAACGATTCTTCCTTCAAGCCGTCGCCCGTCAAGATGATTAACGGCATGAGCGCTCAGAGCTATCTGGCGAACGTGTCTGCTGATTCTGATTTCCACGATGCAGACACACGATGGAATGCGCTTTTCCCTTCTCAGGCTCTTCTTGCATCCGGTACTACCTTTCTTGGAAGTTTCAGAACTGGGCAATATCAGGGTCCGAATACAACCATGGAGTTTGCCAATGGAACTACCTGGTCGAGTATGAACGTCGCTGTCGTTTTTGGAAATTTCACTGGTGTTGATAGCGGTAAGGCCTTTTTTCAAAGGTTCTGTACAGGGCCGAAGCCTGTTTCTGCTGCTCCTGCTCCCTCACCTACTGGCAACTCTACAAGGACTGTGACTCCCACAGCTACGCCGAGTCCCTCACATATTGGTTATCCAAAGGCTGAGCTGATCAACTCAAATCTCGCGGTTGGAGGCTACTATCTCAATGGCGCAGGATACGAGGTAAGTTGGACGCATCACATCTCTTATCTGTCTGACCGCTTTAGGATGTTGCCGTTCTGAGTATCCCGTCCTACGAATCTCCTAATGTTCAGAGCTTCCAAAACACGATGCGAGACTTCATAAGGATGTCGCAAAAAGCGGGTAAAACGAAGATGGTCTTTGATTTACGAGGCAATGGTGGAGGCAATGCGATTCTCGGCTACGATACTTTCAAGCAAGTATACCCACAGGCAGCCGCAGAGCCCTTTGGCGGCACACGCTTCCGCGCAAACGATGCTCTAAACGCTGCTGGTAAAATCACCGAAAGCTTTCTCGCCAACAAGACGTACGCACAATCTAACCAAACCGCTTTTGTGGAAGCGTTTGGTCGCGGTGCTACACAAGACGATGTCTTTGGTTTCACAGCCGGATTCAACTACCAGCACATTCTCGATGTCAATAATAAAGCTGCAACTGGATGGAACCAACTCTTTGGTCCACAGCAAGCAAACAACGATTCTTTTACCACAACCCTTCGGTACAACTTCTCGGACAGTATTAGTACAACATATAATGGCTTCTCTGTAATCGGCTACAACGACAACGCCAATGAAACCAGCACACCACAACCTTTCCAAGCACAAGATATGGTCATGCTACACGACGGCATGTGTTCTTCAACATGCGCCATTGTCTCCGAACTACTCAAGAACCAAGGCGCAGTCCGTACAATCGCCATTGGCGGACGCCCCCAAACTGGTCCGATGCAAGGTGTAGGCGGCACCAAGGGCGCTCAGGTCTTCTCCTGGGACGATATTCAAATCCGCATGCAAGCCGTCTACTTCCTCGGCTCACCCGATGAACAAAAAGCCTGGATGAACATGGATCTTGGTAAGACTGCTTTCGCCACACAACTCTTCAAGCGATCTGCGTACCAAGGCGGACGTATCGCCGGCGGCGTCAATCTCAAAGACAATCTGAGACAGAACGATGCTAGTGCCACTCCCCTGGAGTTCATGTACGAAGCTGCGGATTGCAGAATGTGGTTCACCGGTAAGATGATTACCGATGTTACCGAGGTGTGGAAGGGCGTTGCTGATCGCATGTTCCGTGGAAACGGCACGATGGGTTGTGTTCAGGGCAGTACAATAGATCCCTCTAGTGTTAGTGGTGGAGGCCAGTTAAGGGGTGGGGATGGAAAGGTGACGATGAAGAGCGAGAGCACAATTGCTGTTGCGGGACAAAGTGCGAGTGGAAACGGCAGTGCGCCGCAACAGTTTACTGGTGGTGCGTTCAAGACAACGGTGGGCAGTCTAGGTTGGGGCGTTATGGTTGGCGCCATAGGCCTGTCCATGGCCTTGTAAGTGCAAGTAGCAGCTCATCCTTATATGATCTAGGGCTTTCGCTCTTCACAATCTCGTCTTCGATGTTGGAATGTTTGTTGAGAATATATACGTTTTGAAAATCAATGCACCTAAGTATGTACAGAAAGAACTGGACTTTCAAAGAGGTGCCAGTGCCTCACACATCGAGACTGCTGACTGTCTCTCGCCCCAAAGCTATCGTCGTTGTCGTGAACAGCTTACCGTTGGTTATGTCAATACATTCAACATTTACCAAGCGTTAGCAGACCACTGGTTCACAGTGACTAGATATGGGTATACGAAGTCAGTCTATATTTCACATGCATTTCGTACAGGGACACTTACACGTTGCAGGTCCACCGGTGAAAGCCTCAGTACCGAATTGGTAAGCTGTCAAAGCGTTAGCATATGCAACTATAGTCATCTCGAAAGGGATGCGGGGAGCAGCTTACTGATGAGATTTTGGCTCGACGCGGGAAAGTCTTTGTTGTTCTGGAGGTAGGTGAAGAAGTCCTTGAGGTTTGCCTTGAAGTTGTTGATAGGGCTAGAAGGTACGAAGCTGTAGACTTTCATGGAACCGTTAGGGCCGTAGAAAAGCTCCCAAGTGCGACCAGCTATATTTGGGTGTACAAGGTCAGTGTATGTCTCACTTGCAGTTTGTATAGGAGCACTCACCAACTGTCACCATACCCTGCGAAGTGCCAATGGGATAGACGTCGTATCTGGCGAGCCAGACCATGAGCTCGTAGTCACCACTGCTGGTGTCGTGGTTGATGTTCGCAGCAGTGAACAAATCGTATGCAACGTTGCAGCGGATGTTGTTGGTGTCATAAACCCAGTCTAAACATGGGTGTACGAGGTCAGTATATGTTTCACCTGCAGTTCGTTTAATAACACTTACACGCCTCCGTCTCCAAGTTGCTGTACTGGCTAACAGGCTTCTTGGTGATCTGACGTCCAGAGTAGACGTAGGATTTGACGTTGTCCTTTCCGCCCGTCCACTGCCAGTACGTGTGCCATTTCGCGCCTGTGCTGGACACGCTGTCGACGTAGGTACACTGCGAACCTGAGGTCGCAGCGCTGCGACCCCAGATGTTGTTGTTGAGCTCGTAACCGTTGCTGGAGAAATATTCGTAATCCTTGCAGAGCGTGTGCTGTTGTGCGAAGGCAACGGAGGCGAGTGCGCCGAGGATGAATGAAACGGCCTTCATGGTGTGCGATTGGCGGTTGAACGTTTGCTCGAGATGTTTCTTGCTGTTCTGAAATACATCTCTTCGTGTGGAGCACCAAACCTTTTGTAGTCCCAAAATTGCAGTGCTTCAACTGCTCACAACACCGTTACTCGACTTTAAACGGTGGTGGTTACTCATAGTGGACCTTCATATAACGTGTGCTTCGTCAAGCGCGATCCGTCCCTAGATTCCGACAGATCATCCTGTCAACTCTAGTATAAACCACCTCATGGCCAGCCTTGCCACCAGAGACACCTGACATAAGTAGGACCGTTTCGGAGATCTCAATATACCTCGCCAATGAGAAGAGCATAGGCTTACCTGTTGTAGTCGCGCGCATTGGCGTTTCTCGTCTCCGCACGTACTTCAGCCTCGGAAGATTAACTCGGTCATCTTAATATTTGCCGTCGTCATTTCCCGGGAACGTGGCCTACTCAGAATCGTACTAGAGCTCGGAAGCATATCTAAGAACGTAGGCACTTCCGACTACAACTTCTTTACTTGTAACATCGGCCACGCTACCTTGGACCAAATGTGGATAGTCCAGGTGCAAGGTAAGCATGATGCAACACTATTGGCTAGTATTAGTGAGGTTCCTAGGCACAGTACGCATGGTTTCTGTCAAAATATACCTAATCGACGGAATCTTAGCCCGATATCCCTGGCGGGTCGTGTTGAAAGAGTGCTGTACGTGAAATGATAGGTGGACAACTTGTTCCTTGCTTCCATCGCCAAAAAGAGCGGCTGCAGCCGCTACTGGGATGTACGAGACCAGAAAGTGGATTTGTAGAAGACATTCTGCTTTGGTGATTGCAGTTCGAGGGAAAAATGGAGAGTTGATGGGCAATGCCTGAGAAGGAAGAGAGAATGAGATAGTAATCACCGATGAATCCAGTTACCAGAAGATTTGTTCCGTCTATGTAGCTGTTCACCTTAGCGTTTGAATGGGCATTTTTCTGGTGTTCAAGAAACATTCGAAAGCACATTGGTGAGCAAGAACACTGTTTTTTCGAGTGTCGCTCTTTGCCAAGGTGGGCAGTCGCACCTTACTACACTTTCACTACCTTTTGCTCTACCCCTTACGTCTCTCTCCTGGACTTTCTTGCAGAATCAGTTGATCGCGCTTGTACTGTTCTTTGTGCTGAGTATCCGTATGTGTCGTATGACTTTGTTGGCAGGTCTTGATCGATGCGTGTACTGCAGGGAATGGCGAATGTTTCGCATAGTGTTGAGCAAGGCGTCAATAAGACACCAGAGCGATCGGATCAGAGAGTGTGTGATTCTGGCAACAACTAGATAGGCAACCAGTTGGTGAAGCTGGGGTGTTCGAGGTCTTGGTTAGGGACGTTTCTGTTCCCAATCCTTGGCAACGAAGTACCTATGCACCATGCCAAGGTGGCTAGTTACCTATTGGATTGTATCTAATTACCTTTCGTGACCGCGTGTTGGCTCTGTAGGATTGACACATGCACAGAACACGAGCAGTGATCGGAAACATCGCTACGCCCTAGTTTGTCAATAATGCCCCTGACTCTGCTTCTTGTCCTCGTTTAGCACGTATTGTGGGCCACATGGAAAGTGACTGTATGGGACGAGCGTGGGCACACCTGATCAACAGTTGAAAACCATGGTCTTGATCTGAGGCTTGCATGATGTAGTTGTCATGAAACGCACATAACCTAGTATCCCAAATATTTGTGTTCTGGGCACGCTGATCGTCCCGTCCTCAAGATTGATTTTGTGAACGCCAAGCCACGGAGCCACGGACTGGGAAAGTGTCCATGGGCCCGTGCAGCGACGAAGGATCAGCACAATCCCTTCCACGGATCATAACAACTCTAATAAGGCATCATCATCATAGTCACAACAGCGGAACTATGTGAAGACTACTATCTCCTTACACGTCGTACCTAGCAAGTTTGTTTTGGTAGTTGTGCTCACATGAACATCGGACACCGCGCGACAATGCGCGTCTCCTCGCTCATTTCCACTTCCGCAGGTGTCTGCGGCATGACGGAACATCTTGACGCCGCTGTTCAGTGCTGTCCTGGGCGGTAATACATGGCGTTTTCAGCCACTGAACCGAAATGAGGGTCTCCGAAAATACCTCTCGCTTCTAGCACGATTTTGTAAGGCTGTGAAATAGGGCTTTGACCATCATCACCTACTCATGATGGTCAGACAGAATACCGCCGCACAACGACCATTGTCACTTTAAAAAGAGTAGGGAAGAAGAAAATACCGAGGCTCTCAGGGTTGGCTGGCTCCAAAAGGGTTCATCGCCAGATCAACTCAAGGGATGTCCTCGCTCATGTTTCAGGTTCCTTGAATCAAGAACCCAAGATTCTGCACCTAGAACAGATCGTCACAGGGTATGCACATAGTCTCAACACCGCCACTTGAATCCTGCGTCCTACAAACGGTAAGGCTCTGGCTTCAACTGTCGTGCCGTCTTTCTCCCCAACGGCCCCTGTGCTTCTAACGGCGGATCTAGCCTCTTCCCATCACTAGTGTCGTGTAGGATACGATGAAGTCTGATGTCTGTCTGCACGGCTAACCGCCAACACGTTCTTGGTGGCTGTTTTAGTCCGGGCACTGAACTGACATGTAATCACCAAGCGAGATGGCGATGTTTGGGACCCGTGATTCCGTGTACGGAAGGATTCTGCGTGTATAAAACCCATGGTGCCCACGTTGGTTGGAAAGGCACGCTTGACGCTCAACACACTCGTTCTATACACGTTCTTTTTCAGTCTTTGACTTCTTCGATCTTTACTTCGTCGCTCTCTTCAGACAGTCACCTTTTACAAGAACAACTACTCAATCAACCAATCAACTCTTCAATTCCACATTCAAAATGAAGGCATCCATCTTCGCTCTCGCTCTCGCTGGCGCTGCCAGTGCTCACACCACTGTCTACTCCATCTCGGTCAACGGAAAGTCTCAAGGTCTCGGAAATGTTCAGGGCGGCTACATTGACTCTCCTCCCAACAACAACCCAGTTACCGACGTTACCTCCAAGGCTATGGAGTGCAACGTAGCCAACATCAAGGCTTCCAAGTCGGTTGCCGTCAACGGTGGTGACAAGATTGCTGTAAGTACTCCAACGGTCCGCATTGTATAGAACTTGAACTGACGAATACTCTTAGGTCGAGTGGCACCACAACAACGCTGACGCCAGCGACGACATCATCGACCCATCTCACAAGGGACCTATCACCGTCTACATGTCTAAGGCTGGCTCTTCTATGTCATGGACGAAGATTGCTGAAGATGGCTACGATGGCAAATCTTGGGCCGTCGAGAAGCTCATCAAGGGTTCATACACTGGCAAGCCAGGACAGCACGAGTTCACTCTGCCCAATGTTGCACCTGGCGAGTACATCATCCGCCCTGAGATTATTGCCCTACACGAGGGTGACCGCATCGGTGGCGCACAATTCTACCAGGAGTGCATTCACGTAAAGGTCGGTGGCTCTGGCACCACTGCGCTGCCTGCCGGTGTTGCTATCCCCGGCTACCTCAGCGCTCAAGACCCGAGTGTTCACTTCAACCTCTACGGCTCCTACTCTAGCTACCCCATGCCAGGACCCAAGCTCTGGAACGGTGCTGGTGGTGCTGCCGCCCCAGCTAAGCCTGCGCCCGCTGCTCCCACCACCACCAAGGTCGCTGCTCCTGCCCCTACCAAGGTTGCCACCCCTACTACCACCAAGGCTGCTACCCCAGCCAAGACTACCCTTGCCACCGTCGCTAAGCCTGCTCCTACCGCCGGTGGTGCTGGTGCTCAGAAGTACGGCCAGTGCGGTGGCATCGGCTTCACCGGTCCTACTACTTGCGCTTCCGGCTGCAAGTGCGTCAAGCAGAACGACTGGTACTCCCAGTGCTTGTAAGCGCATGTCCATGATGATGGCGTTGCTGGGCCATAAAAAGATGCCGTTTGCATCGGGTGTTTTTCATGATTGATAAGGGGTACATTTGGCCTTTTTTGAGTAGAGCTTTGTTAGTGTTTAGTGGGCTTGTCTCCTGCAATGAGCGGCTTGAGCGTCGCCTGTCTTCAATTCTTGTGTATATACGTAATTCCCACAACGAATTGGATTCGTTGCCTTTTCTGCTTTGACGCAAACTGTTGTTTTGACTAAGTTCTTGTGGTGTCTTGTCCTAACAGCATCCTGATCAACACAGAAGAAGGTAGCATGCTAATGCCATCTAGTGCCGATGTGGCGTAAGCAAACAGCCTTGAAAGCCTCGCGTAGGTTTAGAGCCGGTTCTGCCCAAGCTACTTTACAATCATTACTTCACGTCTCAAACATACACACACAACATCCTCGCATGTGCTCCGAATTCGTCAAAATGAATCAAGACCACTATACAAGCAAAGGCCCCGTAGGCTTCATTACTTGAGAACCCGTCGTATGATGATATTGCGTGGCTAAGCGCACTACGAAGCCGAAGTCGCATGGGCGGAGGGTACAAGCTTCCGCAAGAAGCTCGTTGAACAGACGAAGGGGCGCGAGGGGCGCCCACGGGGAAAAGCTAGAGAGACAAGCCAATTCTTGACCTGATCCACCAGTAATGCTGGCCTCCCCTCAAGGCATTGGCACTATGGACATGACTTCAAGACCCACGTCTCGAGAGTCTTGTCCACTCGCCCACTTACAAGCTAGAGCTTGCCCAAGGAGACGCGATCGGGAGTATACGGATCCAGGGAGAAGACAAGTGTCTGCAAGAGTTATAACGGTGGAGGGCAGCCCGATGCACTTCAAACCGCGCATGTATGCGCGTGAAACAGAAGTCGAGCGTGAGCTCCATATTCTAACGCGTATGGACAAAGTCGGGCTGACTGCTCGGCTCAGAATTGCCAGACTGCAGGGTTTGGTGGTATCAGGCGTGGTTACCATCGGCATGTTGAAGACACTGATGACATCGCTCAGCATCGGGACCCACTTGCGACGTCCTGGCCTTCAGGACAGGCACGAGTTGCATAAACAGTGGGAAGAACAGCTCACAACCATGGTACGGGGGCTGCATGTCCACGATAGTGTGTGGGGCGATGTCGGCGCGATGAATGTTGTTGTTGACGAGGAGATGGAGCCGAATTCGTGGACAATGAGCAGCGCAAGATCATCGAGGGCGACGGACAGAGCATCACGAGGCTGTTTCAGAAAGGGCTTCCAGACGCAGCGAGATGGAGCCAGTCGTGATGAGGGTTTATGGAGCGTAGACGTCAGCTATGCCACGTGTATTTGGCCTGTACTCTCAACACGCATGTGTACCTGGGTCCGTGCTGTGACGCTGTCGAATGCCATGGGTGACTAAGGCGGTTATTTGCGCAATTGGACCCTGAATCTCATCATTTGCGCGCGCCGACACTCGGACAACCGTCTGGGCCTCTGTGCGGAGATGACAAGTCATAAACCACAACAAACCATGCCTCACTCTGCGCTGCCTCCTTGATATTCCTCGCCCACCACCTCATGAGAGCCCGCAAACCACCATCATGATCGCTCCTTCCTGCGCCTGGACTCGTGTTGGCTTGAGGCGCATGCCCAACGCCCCTTACTCCCGGAACACAAACTCGGGAACCGGCTTCGAACGCGCACGCACTCAGGTCCATCCTTCCAATGTCACTCGCAGATGCCATTTCGAGAAGTCGCACGCGGGTGGCAGGCCGACGGAAACGGCGCGGTCCATTCCCGGGCCAAGCTGGCTTTGGCTCGACCCCATCATCGAACCCTTCCGCGCATATGGTCGCGTGCAACAGAGGAGGCCCTACAGGACACAGCTCATATCCTCGCTCGTCATCTATTTCATCGGCGACCTAGTGGCCCAGAGCATTGCGCCTGACGAGTCCAACCAAGTGCTGGAAGTGGTCGACGATGCAGCGGAAAAGGGCTGGGTCCAAGAATGGAGCGACAACCGTGACTGGGCCCGTACAGGACGCGCTCTCGCAATTGGAGGACTGAGCTCTATCCCATCGTACAAGTGGTTCCTGTGGTTATCCAACAGCTTCAACTACAGCTCCAAGACACTCTCTCTGTCAATCAAGGTGCGTTCCCTTTCCCCCTAACAGCCAACGCTTGCTCATCATTCAACAGGTCTTCATCAACCAAGCCTTCTTCACCCCCTTGTTCAACTCGTACTTCTTCGGCATGCAATCGCTTCTTTCCGGCGCAACCCTGCCCGAGATCCTGGAACGCATCAAGAATACGGTGCCGACAAGCTGGTACAACAGCTGCAAACTCTGGCCTGCTGTCACAGCCTTCAGCTTCACCTACATACCTATAGAATACCGTAGCATATTTGGCGGCGTTATCGCTATTGGGTGGCAGACGTATCTCAGTCTGCTAAACACAAGGGCTGCAGCTAAAGAGGAGATGGAGCATGCAGCGATGCACGACGCGCCAGCAAGCGTGCGAACAACACAAAGGCTTGAGCATGGTCTGTTCGAGCAAAAATGCGCTGCGTAGGCTACATCCGCTGCAAACCGACCTTGGAACACTCTGGACTCGTTCAACAAGGCCCACAACGCGACTAGCGTTTCAACATTCACCTGCTGCATCTGCAGCCACTTTTATTTCTTATGTCTGATTCAAGACGGGTATATTGCATTAGAGACGGAGTTACGGATTCCATTCGATACCAGGAGCGCTGCGTAAACGACGCGCGAACACATCAGTCATCACATTAGCATCTTATCTACACCTCAATACATCTCGTTTGTTTTCGCTAGGCTTCGTCGACCCTAGCCCACGGCCCACTCAACAACAGGAGGTACGCCGGTTCTCGGCCCGAGGCTTTGGCAAGAACCCACGCGGCTCCCACTCTGTCCCCCCTTCTGATATCCAGCCGGACGTCATTCAGACAAAAGAAGGCCCCTCGGAGTGACAGGATCTGCTACAGCTGCGGTTGCTGTTTGAATCAGGAGTTAAAACCGTGGTAAGCGTCGTGTGATGTCATCATGTCGACCATAGTAAATATGAACTTCAAAACAAGTAATAGAAATTTCACGCCACGCTTTGTATCGAAATTGAATCGTCCAAATTGTTGACAAACTATTGTTGTTTCTCTGTCCTTGTTCCTAAGATACCCCATTTACACCATGTCTTCTTCAGCAGGCCAACGCATAGACGAAGAATCATATACATCATGGCGGCAACGCTCCGAACTCGACAAGATGGCCGATTTACCCCAGGCTCTGGACGACGAACTCGCGCGTCTTGATAATCAATTTTGGATCCCTAGAACCAAACTCGAGGAGATTGTTAGCCGCTTCTGTGAAGAACTGGAAGAAGGCCTCGCTAAAGACAAGCAAAACATCCCCATGAACATCACTTGGGTGCACAATCTACCAACAGGGAAAGAGAAGGGTACAATAATGACACTGGATCTCGGTGGCACAAATTTGAGGGTTTGCAAAATAGACTTGTATGGAGATGAAGGCCGAAAACAAGGAGACGGCAAATACGGCATGGAGCAAGAACAATACAAGTTACCGGAAGAGCTGAAAAAGGGAGAATCCGATGCTCTCTGGAATTTCATTGCGGAAAAAGTGGAGGCTTTCTTCAAGGATCATAAATTGGACCAGCAGTATAGCACGCAGAAGCCTATGCCACTGGGATTTACTTTCAGTTATCCAGCAACGCAAGATCGTATCGACCACGCAGTCTTGCAGACGTGGACAAAAGGGTTTGATATAAAGGGTGTAGAAGGCCAGGATGCTGCGAAGCAGCTTCGAGAAAAGCTGCAAGAGAGAAAGTTGCCAGTCGACTTAATCTGCGTCATTAACGACACTGTCGGTGCGATGATCGCGTCTGCCTACAACGACCCAGAGACCATAATAGGCGGCATCTTTGGTACAGGATGTAATGCAGCGTAAGAATTGTCCCTGCACGGAATACATATGAGACGTACACTGACTTCGTACACGCCGCTGTTAGGTTTATGGCTAGCCTATCCAGCATCGCAAAACTAGATCCAAACGACGAAAGAATCACAGACGCATCATCTCATAATGGAGCGGTCAAGGGCGAAGAGAAAATGGCCATTAACTGCGAATACGGCGCTTTTGACAACTCGCACCGTGTCCTCCCTCGCACGAAATACGACGAGAAGATCGATGCAGAAAGCCCTCGGCCTGGCGAGCAAACTTTTGAGAAACTCTCCGCTGGTTTGTATCTAGGTGAGATATTCCGCCTCATATTAGTCGAACTCCTAGATCGCGGCCTTGTCTTCAACCAGGATTCAAATCAAGATACGAGAAAGCTGCGTGAGCCATACATCATAGACACGGGGTTCCTTTCTCAGATCGAGGACGACGAGTCACCTAAGTTCACCAAAACACGCGAACTCTTCCAGTCTACACTCTCCCTCCAGCCATCAGACGTTGAGATTGAACTCTCACGTCGACTGGCTGAGATGATCGCGGTGCGCGGTGCCAGATTATGCGCTTGTGGTGTTGCTGCCATCTGCACCAAAGAAGGTATCAAGAAGGGCCATGTGGCTGCAGACGGTAGTGTAGCAAACAAACATCCAAAGTTCAAGAGAAGATGGACTAAAGCTTTGGGTGAGGTGCTGGGGTGGAAGGAGGAGGAATGTGGGGAGGGCGAAGGCCCGATCATCATTACTAGTGCCGAGGATGGGAGTGGACTTGGTTGTGCGATCATCGGTGCTATGGAGTTGGAGAGAAGGACGAAGAAGGAAACTCATTGAGAGATGTGTTATGGGTACGGCAGATGGGAGGTTTAGAATTCGACATTGTGGCTGTGCAGTACGTTTTACTCTAAGCTTGAGAAGACTGTCTTTAGCAGAAGGGACGTGCTATAGAGTGTATTACCTCGGGTAAATAAACAAAGTATGATCTGAGTGTTGAACGAGCCGAGGGTAATCGTAATGCGCACATCTGCTTGTGTAGCTACGTACGTTGATCTACAACAAGACGTAGATGTTGTTGTCGTCCAAACTCTCAAAAGCCGTTTTTATCACATAATATGGGTATCGTGCGTCACCAAACCTGCACTGCAGATCCAGATGGTCATCAAAATTCGCTATGTTCTGTTTTTCCTGATCTCCTTGTGGTACGATGATTTGACTTCTGATGTTTGGACGAGGCATCATCCGCTTGTGACGGCCGTATGATTCCAGAGCAGAGACCTCACTCAGCTGAGCGCTATACACGATGTCCTTAGATCTTAGCTCGTGGCTATGCTCAGGGAGCAGAGCTACCGATACCCAGTCCCGTTCGGCGAGATGGACAGATCTTGGTACAAAAGACGGAGAGATCAGCACGTGTCTCCTGTATCTCCGGTGTTTCTATAACAACTCTCAGTTCTCAGATTTCTTTTGATGCTGTTCTCCGCGATCGTTCGCATGGCGCGCTAATATGTCCAGATCTAGATGCCCTGAGATCTGTCATGGACCCTGTACGCAATGCCAAACCACGCTAGTCGGCGATCTCGCTCACATCCGCCCACGGTTCACCCACATTCCGACACACAACTCACCCACGGAAAGCTGAACGGCACGTCGCGCCCCCGCAGCCAACCAGCGATCTGCTTCACCAGCAACACACCGTCATAAACTAGTGTTGCGAAAAGACGTGGGACCTGGTCACGATGTGCGGTGTGCTGTTGGTTGTACCGCTGGCAAAGTGGTGGTGGTGGACCCACAGGTACGGTGGCATGAGGTGTAGAGGTGATGTATGATGACAGGACGTAGGGGTACGTTCTTTTTTCATCTTTTTTGGAATATCCGGGGCTGTAAGTGTCGAGGCATGTAATGCACCGGTTGAGAGGTGGTGCACGTGCAAGCGTACCGGTGCGGTGAGTCTTGTTGTCGGCGAACTTGCGCAGATGCGTTGCTGCAGAAAAGGCGGTATATAACCTGAAACCGACTTCAGCGGTCAAGAGCACAACGAATTGTTATCCCAGGCTACCGCGGCTACCACCAAAGCGACGATCTTTAAGCATACACCGGTGTACTCCAGCACACCCTTTGCACCCCGGGCCCAATAGCCGAGCACCATCAAATCACAAACACATGTCTAGAGGAGGCTTTCAGATCCACACCGCAACTCCAATCCGCAATCGGAAAAAAATCGGAGTCACATCCGCAGCCTGGGCACGCGACCACACCCACGCCAGCACAAGTCAAATGTTCGTGCCAACACCATATGACTGCACCACGCCCCCATGGCTGTCGCAAACCAGCCCTTTTCCGAATTTCCCCGTGCAGCAAACATCGACCAACACTTTGCCGGCTTCGCATTTCGCGCCAGACCCACGTCTCCCACGACCAGCGCCTCGTGAACAGGGCCTGCAAGATGACTTGTTCTATGCATTCACACGAGACGCCTACTTATCAAGTGAGACAACCGCCGCGAAAGAGGTAGCACGACATTTGCAACCATATTATCCTCCAACAGAGAAGACAAATCGTACATTACCTTTACCAAGGTACACCAACCAAGGACATAACCACAACAACTTGCAATTCTTCACACCCTTCACGCCCTTCACACCACTCACACCTACGATACCAAACGCCTTCAACATGGAGGTCACAAGCAGACCACTCCCATCACTACTACCTCAGTCCGCCCCCATGGCTATGGCATCGAAACCAGCAAATGCTGCTCCGTGGTCATTTCCCAACCTCAAGAAGAGGCGCCGTCGTCGAGCAAGCCAAATCTTCAACATGAACTTCAGCTTTGGCTTTGGGTCTCGACGAAAGAGTCAAGACCACTCGCCTGACATCAGTCCGCGAACATCCATATCATCGGCATCAGGCTCCCCGAGATCAGAGGTAGAGCAAAGCTCCAAGAGACAGAGAATCGATTCGAGAGTGTCAGATGCAGAGGCGGTATTCTCACCCAACAAGAGCATCAAGATTTCGGGACCCGAGAACACGCCAATAGTCTTGTCGCGATGTGACAGCACGGGTGAAGTGCACCCAGGCCAACTCGTCGACTTCACCAGCAAACCCGTTCCCATCGCGCCGGAGCCGATTGTGATTCCTGCTCCTGTACGCAGAAGCCCGGCAAGCGAGTTCGAGCTTCGCTTAAGCAGCGACACATATCACGATCACCTGGCCACCTCTCAACGACGGAAATCCTTCCCTGCTGGCGAATGGGCACCAAAACGGGTCCGTGATGAGGTTCAGATGCTGCATAAGCTAGAGAAGCTCGAGAAGCTCGACACCAAAGTCGAGGATCCTTTCAAGAGATTCAGGGAATCTGCAAGGAAGAGGATATGCACAGTGGAACGGAAGACCAAGGCTTCGGCAACCACTTCTTCCACCACCACGGCGCCAACACCAAGCATGGTTAATGCATCAAGTGTGCCATGCGAACTCCGCCGCACACCAAGCGATCCAAGCACTGAGGCTTTCCTTACACACGTCCGTGCAAGTCTCGAAGCGAGGAAGAGGGAGAACAAGACGGGAGAACGCTGGCGTTCATATCCCGTGTTTGCCGACGAAGTCGAGAAGGGTTTTCTCGATGACGCACCGCTATGACGGTGATATGTATAACATTTATGAGACCGCGATCGGCGGCTGGCCGTTTGGATGACTTGCATATCGGAATTGGCGTTTTGAGGGCGGATACCCGTAGTATATCCACATTTTAGCGCGCATATATACCCTGAGCTCAGTTGGTCAACTGAGCTCCTGACGAATGAATTAATACTACTATTACCACAACATGACATCACTTCCTTCTGTTCTCATTGCTTCTTCGTCCTCCCAATCTTTTTTACCTCGACAACCTAGTCTATATGGCACCCACAAGTATACTCCATGGGCGTCGCAACAATGGTTCCAAGAGTGAAGTAGTGCAGCACGGTGTCTTCATGAGGATCAGTCGTGGCGGTAGATGATGTAACGGCGGTGACGAGTGAGGAAAAGACAAGGCAGAGTGTTAGGCAAAAGACAGGGTAGAGGGATGATCGTAGCATGGTCGATTAGTACAACAAGTAGGAAATTGGCGTGCTGACGCACTGGTGATGGAAAAGAGAAGAAAGCAAAGGTACCGAACAATGTCAGACGATAGAGTTGGACTATGGAGGCAGAACATCGAGAAGCGAGTGTCTACGTTCCACAATATGCATATCCCAAAGGAAGGCTTGTGCATCCAAGCAAAGACAATGAAAAGAAAAACTCCATCCATAGCATCGTGATACCGATCCCAAGACGCCACGCCACGTCCAACCCAAGTATGAACTTTCTCACTCACCATCTCCTACCTACTCTTCCACCGCACCCCTCCAACCCACTTGACCCATCCCTCAACACTCTCCCTCTTCTCCACATCCTCCTCCACACCGCCCACCTGTATCAGCTCAACCGTATAAAAGCTCTTGGCCAACTCTTCATTTCCAGCTAACCTGTGCACAAAACTGTGACAAGCCCTGCATAACCACGCCACGCTGTTCAGCTTATCTTCTGTATGCCAACCCCTCTTCCTCACGCGCGCATGCGCTGCTTTTGGAATAAGATGGTGGTATGTCAACGGCACCCAGTCCCTGCCGCAAAGTTCACATGCCGTAGCACGCGTGCTGCTCCATATGGGTGGTGGCGCGGTGACGGCAGAGATGTACGTTGTGAGGAGAGGTGTGAGCAGGTTGTGTTGGTCGATGCTGTCGGAGGTAGGTGGAAGGAGGCCGTAGCTTTCTAGGCTGTCGATTGCGGTAGGTGGAATGCGTTGGAGGAGGGTCGTATATGTTGAGGCTGAAAGGGGGGTTGTGTAGAGGTCTTGGAGGTTGGGCGAGTCTTTGAAGATGGAGTGCGTAAGTGTGCGCAGTTCGTGAGGTAGAGATGGGAAGATTAGGGTGCTCAGATACTGGATTGTCAGTCAGTGAGGTTCTAAATGCGTAAGTATGTGCTGCTGGCATACTTCGATGAATTCCCCCAAGTCTTCGGCATCTGTTCCTTCCTCGCTTCCATCGGTATTCGCCTCTGTAGATTCCTGCTTCATGACTTCATTCTTCCCACTCTTTGAGCCTTTTTTCGCATGTCTCTTCTTCTTCGGTTTCGGTTTCTCGGTTGGTGCAGCCAGAACTTTGATGATAGGTTCGCTCATGCAGTCGCGGAAGGTCTCGTAGTTGGATTGCTCCCCAGCAGGGATCGGTTCAGCCATGTTGAACAGACTCGCAATACGATGCACAAATAGGCCAAAGGCTCTGGAAGTTTATGCGCATGATGGAAAACATCAGTGGCGCCATGGCGATGTTCATATATAGTGGAGCGAGTGATGACGGAGTCGTGAACTTTCGCGTTCGCGAGGCGAGGCACTAACTGGTGGGGAGCATAAGGGCGTCGCGGGGGCTCATGGCTCCCACACGAACTCGTATTTGCCGTCGAAGCTTCGAGATGCCATGCCATTTGGAGGTCGCTTGACGATGAGATGTTGTGGTTCGCTGTAGGCGATGCGTTAGGTTGTAATCCACAGTACATCAGACATGAAGCAGCAAGAAGCAGTTTCTGGTTCGTAAACTCTGGGTCATATTCGTCTATTCTTCGAAACATGCGGTATGTCGCATGGTGGTCGCCATGTCGTCTTCTGACTGCTTTCATCAACCCATCATGAGCATTGGTTAGCTGCTCGGAGCAAGATAGCCATTCGCGGAGCATGCAGTCCGTCAGCATGGAGCCAGACGCGTTCGCACATGTGCACTGGTGATCCGGCGCCGCAGAACTGACTTGCAACATCACGAAAGCTCCATGTCTAACAACAAGTGTCAGATCTAGGCCTTCTTCTTGCCGCCCTTAGCAAGACGTTCGGCCTTGCCCTTGGCCTGCTCTCGCCGCCTGTTCTCACGCTCCATGAGCTCCTTCTTCTCCTTCTCCAGCTCAGCACGCTCTTCTGCCTCAGCCTTCTTTCGCGCAGCCTCAGCGTCCCTGCGCTCACGAACCAGCTTCAAGCGCTCCAGATCGGCTCGCGCCTGCTCAGTCTTGCCCTCAGCGTGTAGTTTGTCGTATCGATCTTTGTTGGCTTGCGCCTGGAGAGCCTCACGCTCGCGGCGGGAGAGCTGGGAGAGGTCCTGTTGCTTTCCCTTTCCCTTAGCGACGGGCTCAGCTTCTGGATCGACAGGGGCCTTTGTGGCTTGTGTACGGGCTTTTGCAGTGTGGTTTGGGTTCGCGGGCATATCATCGTCTTCGTCTTCAGAGGAGTCGGTGGGCATGTCGCCTGCCTCGGGGGTCTTCTGTGACTTCTTCGCAATCGCGGCCGCCTTGCGCTTCTTTGCGAGCTCACGGCGCTGCTCACGCGTCAACTCTTCTTGTTCGGGCTTGCCACCCTCCTCGTCGGACTCTTCCTCCGAAGATTCTTCTTCTTCGGAGGACTCCTCGTCGACTTTGTCGGGTTGCTCCTGCAATTCTGTGTTAGAAGATGATTGTATACTCAAGGTACAGTAGGTACTCACACCCCACATGCCGACGACCTCGCCATCTGCATTCAGCGGTTGTAGGTCGCGCGAGAACTTCTTGCCGCCTCCGCGCTTGACCTTGTTGAACTTGCCGCCGCGGCCACGTCCTGCTGAAGACATGTTGTGTGTTTGGGTTCTTTGTGTGCAAGTAGAGGGTATTGTGTGTCGAGACGGTTCGCAGGTGGGACCCGTATGCGCAGTCGAGAGTATTTGGGATTGTAGGGGCGACTGAGGTTGCGGTCGAGCCTGTGATTCTTCTTTTAAGATTCCGAGCGGGAGGAGTCTTTGGTGGAGAGCGGGTTAAGTGCGCTCGTGTAAGGATCGTTCACAAGGGCGAGTGATCTAGTCGTGGAAGTATGAGTCTGTCAAACCACGGCTCGTTAGCCTCCCACTCCACGTTTTCCAATACAGAGAGACTCTTTATTCACCTTTTGTATACAAGAACTCACTCTGATTCTATTATTCCAGAAGAGTCACTCCCACAGGCCAACGACAAAACCCCGCGCCCTCGCCCAAAATCCCCTGCCCCACCATCCTCGTCACACCCAACGCGCCATTCTTGATTCGCTCAGCTGACCCATGCTCTTACACTAACCCCTTCCATCCAAGCGCCCCTTAGTCATCCGAAATCTTCGCAGCCGTCAAAACCAACGCGTCGCGCGATCCTCTTCTGTTCATTAAAACTGAACACCCCATTATTCACTCTGTGTCTTCCACCTCAATGGAGATTTGGAGGGGAAAATGGAGGTTAGAATGATCATGCGTTCGCTTACCCCCTTCTCTTCTGCGCTCTGCGCTGGTGGAGCGAAGGTAAATATATTGGACGGTACATATTTTTGCCTGCATGTGATGCTGCGCTTGCGACGGAAGCGTATAGAGAGCTTAACATCGGCTTTCCGCATTCGCTGAAGCTGTAATGGAAAGCTAGCAGTGTTGCTAGTCGGCGTTCTGCGTGAAAAGTTCCCTGGTGATGGTTTCACGATGCACAACCCGGGCGAGCTATCAAGATCATGTCAGCATCATCTCCTAAACCCTTAAGGCATTCTTGCATCCACTCAGGATGTTGTCTGTGTCCTGCTAAGAGCTCTATGACGCTTCTCAGGTTTTTCAAATACTTGGAAACGCTAGCCGATGACTTCCCAGGCCGTTGCTTCAAATCCATATCTACTCTATTCCCATGGATGGATGCCTCGGATGAGACTTCTTTTGACTCGTGATCGGCTTTGCGATGGAAATAAGCAGTATCCGTCTCTTCAATCGCCATGAATACCCCAACGTACAAGGTAGAAACCCCTACTGCATATGGACTGCCGATTCACTTTTTGTCAATGATGCATTCCCCACAGTTTCAGAGTCTAGTAAAACACACAGCTTGACTCTAGCTAATCACTTGCCCTTTCGTTCCTCAACTTCGCATTCATGTGTTCATTTGGCCAGCTCCCTTCTACTACTCCGCCAACTACTATCTCCGACCTTCGATAAAATCAACAAAGATTGGGGCCCCTGACTCTGAACGCACTGCAGCTATACTCAATAGAACAGTCTATACTGGATCCATGCGATCGGCTGCGAAGGGTTCCAGGCACGGAAAACGCTCCAAGGCCCACGATCGCTTCGGCAAATTCACGGCTAACCAGACTGGATCTCAGTTTCTTCAGAGTCAGCGTCTTCCTTCGGATTGTCAAGACCGTCGCTCTGATACCGTCGCGCCCAAGATATACTAGCCAGAGCTGGAGAAAGCTCGGTGTTTGGGTCATGGGCCTACAGAGCAAGGTATATACCGGACCGAGTTCTGCGACAGCCAGGGCTTTGGACACCTAATGAAGCTGGTGCGCTCCATTAAGCCAGACTCTGGGTTCCACTGATGTTGCTGTTGACTTCTGGAGTATGTCAACAGATGCAAGGAGGCCGAGAGTTCAGGCGCAACATCACAAAGCACAAAAGCAGCAAGCTATAATCTGACCGTTTTCATTCTGCCCTACCGATGAAGGGAAAGGCAAACTATCCTATGCACTGAAGACCTAGCAGAACCGTAAAAGTTGGGTATCGCACGAGAAGATTGAAAAGAATACCCAGATCACTAACTTTTGATGCACCCTGAAAGAATTCAGGCCATCGTCGCAACTGACTCTCTTGTGTTTCGAAGCAGTCTGATTTGCATGGCATCAGATCATGCTATCCAGCGAGGCCCACCAGATCGAACCTCTTTCGTACTCTAGATGTACCACATGACATCCTTGAGGCCGCGAGCGTTCTGCATCTCCATCAGAGGAGCGATCTCGAAGTTCTGCTTGGATGAGCCAGTGGAGGACTGCTGGTATACCTTGGACTCCTTCTTGCCGGAGGAGACTGGGTTGTCGTTTAGGTGCGCTCGGGAGCGGTCGGCGGCCAAGTGGGCATAGTAGACAGCGGGGTGGAGAGAAACAGGAGTAGTAGAGCGGACATAGTGGTATGAGTGCTCGAAGATGAACTGCTGAAGCTCGGCAGACAGCCACTCACCCTCGTTGAGAATGCACTGGTAAACTTGTTAGTATTGAGGAGCAATGGTGGGTGTTGACGAGCTATTAGGAGTATGACGTACCTGGTAGTGAATTGGGCGAGCCGTGCCTTTGATGGCGACGTGGGAGCAAAGGTAGAAATCGAACTCGAAGGGATGGGTGCAGCCAGACTCTACCAAAGTACCAGGAAGAGGGTTGCCGTTCCTATCCCCCTTTCCGGTCTCAGGGAAGAAGCGAATGTGGTGTCGCTTGCCGGCGATGACAACAGTGAACTTGGGAATTTCCTTGCAACCCAGCTTCTTGAAGCATTCCTTCATATCGTGGACTTCCTCCTCGAGAACGGCTGCGTACTGTCCCTCTGATGGATGTTAGCTATGAAAAATGGTAATGGAAACGGTGGTATACCTGAGACACCGTCACGTATGAAAAGTACACGCTGAGGAGCCTTGCCCTGACCGATCTTCTGCATCCAGTTCTTGGCCATGAATCCAAAGTGCTGGTCGATGTTGGATGTGGTCACCATCTCGACACGGTTTCCATTGGTCTGGACCTCAGCCCAGTATCGAGCAAAGTGAACGTCGGCAGATACAGTGATAGCGGCGAAGGATGCAGCCTCACCTGAGCCGGCTCCAGGAGCAGGGTGAGAGACGTCAGCGCCAACAACTACATGATTTGCGATGTCAGTATTTATCTCACGGGCGGTTGGTACTGGGATATCACTTACCCATTGTCGGGATTGAAGCGGACTTCGGAGCGACCTTAGGGATGAGCTGAGACTTCGCAACGCTCGTGGCACCTCCAAGTTTAGCGTTGACCTTCATGCAGACGTTGGAAATGTACTGCGGTGAAGCTGACATGACGTGCTTGGCCTGGAGGACCTGGGAAGCTACACCAAAGCGGATGTCGCAAGACTTCTTGATACGCCGGTATACGTCGACGTTGCGGTCGTTGACGACGAAGAAGAGCAGGTTAGGCGGCATCGCATACTTGTTACCAGTCTGGATCCAAACCTTCTGGATCATCTCACCGCCGTCTGCAAGGTTACCAGGACCCATCCACGGCTTCTTGCCATGCTGAGGGTGGGAGGCAACAAGACCACCATGAGCTTCGTAAATCTGCACAAACTTCTGAAAGAAGGCCTCGATTGCCTGAGGAGGAGGGCTGCCGCGGCCTTGGACGCAGCACACACCCCATGCCTTGATTGGGCGCTCCTTGTTGTTCATGATGAACTTGCGCTAAGCAGGTCGTCAGTAAACTGTCTTACTTAAAGTAATACCTGAAGGGATTCGCGGTACTTACTCCATCGAGCCTCCATCGACCTGCGATCATGTCTGCAGGCTTGATGGTAGCCTCCTTGGATCCAGGACCGAAGTGGACAGTGGGTGAGGGCAGAATACGAGCTTGCACTTTGGCAGCTTCCGGGCTAACCTTCAGGCCATAATGGCGGAGATAGGGATCAGACTGCCAATTGAGAAGTCGAACGCCGGCTTGAACAGCAGCCCAGCGCTCCTTGGGAAGGGTTACAGCGAACTTGATCATGTTGGACGTCTGCGTGTCGCTCAGCTTGGTGGTATATCGCTGGTTTCCGTCGATCTTCAAGACGTCGATAGGCATATAGACAGGCTCCTTGCGGATCTTCTTGGTCATCCTGACCTGGTTCGATGTCAGTACATATCTTTTTTCCATCTAGTACAGAACCGTTACTAACCACAGGAACTCCAGCCATACAAGTGACACCATACTTCTTCTTGAAGTACTGGGCCACAGAGATCTTCTTGGAGCGGTCATCTGGATCGGGGAAAGTGGCTGTAGAAACATCCTTGTCGACGAATTCATCGATGGTCCTGGAGTTCGAAGTTAGTATACGTCTGCCGTGGATTTGCAAAGCAAACCTCTTACCATTGTGTAGGTTCCTTGGTATGGGTGGTAGATACTCCAACCTTCTTGAACTTACGGAGGTCCTTCTTGAGCACAGAACCTTTCCAGTCGCGAAGAGCGGTCTTGTACATGGCCGCAAACTGAGGTGGGCTGCAGTTGAAGACCTGGCCGATGGCGCGAGTGAGCTCTTGAGCACGCCAGAAGGTACCATTGGCGACGTCGACGTTGACAGACAAGGATTTGTTGAACTTATCATCCAAGACGGGACGGAGAGAGGCAAATACACCCTTGAAAGCCTCAACACCGCCGCCAAGGTCGAAGCGAACCTCTCCGCGCTGGAAGAAGGACTTCTTGATCTGGGTGTATTGTTGAGAGGGCCACTCGCGCATGACGTGATCGAGGAAGTTGATAGTGTCGATGCATTCTGCGGACCAAGAGGCTTGACCGTTGAGGAACGCGTTCAGACCAATGAAGTCAACTTGGCGTGTCCAGCGGACATGAATGGTATGCTTGTTGCCACGCGCACCTGGCTTGGTGGGACGGCCTTCTTCTTCGTCAAGATCGACAGTGATGCGAGTATCGTCACGAGGTAGGCGCTTGCCGGACCATGCCAGCTTGTTGGTGTCCCAGACCCAGAGGTTGTTGGGCTCACCAAGCTCAGACTTGACACCTCGGGAGTTCCAGATTTTCTTCAGCAGGACGCGCTTGGAGTAGTCGAGAGCATCACCGCTGTAGTTGAGCTTGGAGAAGTTAGCACTAAGTTAAGATTGAGGGAGAAGAAAACTTACATCATACTGGTGGACCACTGTATTGGGAGCTTTGATGACGTTGAAGGTATTGAGCATGATGTTGGCAGCCTTTCCGAACTGGTTGAAGTTTTTCGGGCGCTGAGGAAGAGAACCCGGAATGGTGATCTTGTGATCGTTAGCAAAAATAAGGTTGTCGTGCCTCGGGGTGTAAAAGGAAGTATCTTGGTAGAAACGACGGGGAGGAGCATTTTGGCCAACCATGATGAAGATGGGAAACGAAGGGAGTGGAAAACTATAGATGTATAAAGGTGAATTTTAAGACAAGAAAATGACTGAATCCAAATGATGTTTTGGAAAGAGAAGGATCAGGGCAAGGATAGGAGAACTCCAAGTGGTAAGGATAAAAGTCTCTTATGCTCACAGCTCAGGTTGCGCGACCGTACTGACAGTGGTAGGATGCGAGCCCGAAGCTGTTTGCATATTCGACAACGTGGAGATGAGACATATGTTTGTTTGGTGGGTATATGCATGATGCACATGCAGGCTAGGACAGAGGAGTGTTTGTACTTACGCCACGGGCCTGATACCAACCGGCCATACCAAGGAAATCGGAGATGTTCTTGAGGTCTCGGGGATCGGTGTATTCGACGGGAGCGCGAACATTGGGATCGCGGTTACCATCAAGACGGGGAATGGACTTTGGGGCGGAACGCTGAGTAGGATCGCGAGACTGAGAAGACGAGCCATTGGACGAGCCGTTGGACTGCTTCTCGGCCTGCGCACGCTTCTTTGCTGGACCGGCCATCGCAGACTGCGGACTATAGAAGTCATGTTAGCGGTGTTCGGGAACGAAGAAGCGTTTGCCAGCAGTGACGATCGCGATATGAGGCTTGTGCGATGACAGGGATACGTACCTTGATCTCAAATCGGAGCCGCGTGAGGTACTTGCGTTGAGGGCGTGAGCGTTTGAACCGGATCGTAGATCGGGTCTGAAGCAAGTCAGCAAAGTTCAAAAGTAGAAGCTGAGCACCTATGTGCTCCAAGGAAGATGGCGGGACAAAAAGAGGAGGACGACAGAGTATGGGAGAGGCTGCCATACAAGAGGTGCAGTGTCGTTGATGATGGACTGGAGTGGACGAGAAACAAAAGGTGAGGTGGGTAATGTTATGGAGAGGTTCAAAACGATGCCAAGGTGGGGTCATGAGATAACGTCAAAACAAAAAGAGCAAGAGCGATGAGATTGCTGTGGTGACCGCGCTGGTAAGAGCGGTGACTGCACGGCAGGTACCAGGAACTCAACGTGATGTAGAATCCACAACGGTACTGTAGTAGTGCAGTGCCACTGGCGAGGAACAAGGAAGAATGTTTGGTCAGAAACTTACACAAAGATGACGAGAGCGGAGGACTGCCTGCAGTGGTGTTGACTGAACTGCCTGCAGTGAGGATCTTGAGACCAGCTCTGATTGTTGAGGAAGGTATGCTCGATGCTTGTAGAGTAGAAAAGGCTTGTAGAGAATAGAAGGCTTGTTCCTTTGGGAAGATTGTCAAGATAGCAAAGGAAGAGATAGTGGTTGTCGTTGTGGTGTAAGAAAGGAAAGAGTGTTGAGGCTGTGGAGGAGCAGGTTTATATGGATAGGCACACTACGCTACACGCTGGCTCGTGAGGCTCGGGGGATACATCGGAGCTGTATACAGGTGAGAGATGAGGTTTCAGTGGGTCTGGTGTTTGTAGACGAGGTGAGAATCGTGATGTTGTGGCCCTGTTGACGTGGTGCTGGGCATACGATGACCGCCTTTTTGGGCCTGGTGAGAGACGACCTAAGAGTCATAGGATAACAGACTGTGGAGCAATATGGGCAGATGTGTGATGGACAGAAAGGATTGGAAGGCTTATGACCAGTAGTATAGAGAACATCCCGCAAGCCAGTAGAGCGAGGAGCAGATACTATATCGATCTCAACGGCATCCGAATTGGAAATCTGGAGAAACGTTCCCACAAGAAGTGTACCCCCCAAGTTCTGCAACAAGACTGACGACCCACGGAGAACACATACTCATTGGAGCCCTGTTATCGAAAACATAAAAGACAAAAGCTAACAACAACGACTCTTTCCAACACAGACACGAAGACAGATACGAATTTACCAGATGTGCGCAGTGAGCAATGGCTGCAGACCACCGCAGGGTGTATGACGCCAAATTATCTGCCCAAGTACTCTTGCGACCCATTTCGCATCCAACTCTTGACAGCGATCTCGACAACGTGCAGGAGACTATCGATCTAGCGACAATCTTGATTCCGGAGCCGTTCCCGAGCTTACAGACCGCAGTTCTGTTGACCATTGCTCCCCACTTAGAATTTTGCATCTGGCAAACTCCGAAGACTGCACTGTGAATCGATGCCATCAATCGGCGACGAAGCAAGAGACCACCCCAGAATCTGAAGCACAACACTCAGACAAGCGGTGCCCATGAGTATATGTATATGGAATGTATGGGAGAAGGAAGGAAGCATGAATGGCAGAAGGCGCGACGTTGTTACTCCGGCCGCGAACATGATGCTGAGTGGGGCAGTGAGCCATACCTAACGCCCAAGCGGATTTTGACAGACAATACTCCATGCAGAAGCTAGGAAGGCAACCGAACATTCACTGTGGTGCCTAGCATACAACCCTGTAGCTCCTCAACATAAGCGATTCTTTCTCGTAGCAAGTGAAGTTCACACAGTCAGCAACCCTAAAGCACATCATAGCGAAGGGCAACATAGTAGATGAAATATCCAATTCATTGAGGATATCTAAGAAAAGAGACTGCAAGTCCTCAGCTAAGATTTTGATAAAAAGCCGCCCGAAGGCGCGATCAAACCCAACGCCTCGCTCACACAGAGACTGAGACTGGTAAAAGCCCAACCAGACCCCCCATTGACCCCTATTAACGATATCTCGAACTAACCACCCTTCGCTACACTTCTTAAGGTCCATATAATTTAGTCATGAAGCTCGCCCAGTTGAGTAGAGAATAATAAACGCCTGCCTATGCAATGCTTTGATCCACGCGACCAATTTTTGTGTGTAGATGACCCAACTCTTTCTCCAATGTTCACACAAGACCACACCGAGGCGTACAGTCCAAGACTTCAAATTTGTTCGACAAGTTGTGTTGCCCATTCTATTGGCCCCAACCATTTGTGCCAGCCATCGCCGGGTGCATCGGCATATGTCCGCCGTTGCCGTACTTCTCCTGTATGCTCTGTAGCTGTTGTGCCGTTGTAGGTGTAGTACCCCAACGCTGCGGCTGTGGCGGTCCTTGGCCAGGAGGAACAGGGATGGCAGCGACGTCACGCAACAGAGCGACCAAGCCGTCAGCCTTGAAGCGCGTCTCCTTGTATGTGTGTGCAGGAGGAATGATGCCAAGGAGGAAATTGACTCCACGAGGCAGAGGTGGCGGCCCTGGAGCCTGACCAACGGGTGTGGCACCGGTCGTGGCTAGGTTGCGGCGTGCAGCATCGAGACGGCGTCCTGCCGCACCCTTGAGAGGTGACTCGCCGCGAGCAAGCTTACGAGGTTGTGCAACGTCGTCCGCATCGTCTAGAGGGCGCTTCGGTGAGTTCGTAACAGGGACCAGGTTTCCAAGATGTGGGGAGTTTGCAATGCCGGGAGATTGAAGGCGCTGTTGCTCGGCTACAATTTGCGGTGGTATCGCAGGCATCGGCTGTTGTTGTTGCGGCGGCTGCTGCTGCTCCTCAATAGAAGGCATGACCGAAGGCATGACTGGCTTCATTTGTGTGCGAGGCGAGATTATATGGCGAACGGAGATGGGGTCGAAGGTCGAGCTCGCGAAGCGCTGCGAGAAGCAGTGCAGGTGAGGATCTTCGGGAAAGAGAGTCGCCATGCGCTGTTCGAGTTTTGTGATCTGAGCCAGCTCACCAAACTGGGCTTCGTAGTCGTGGAAGAAGGCGAAGAGCGATTTTGCCCTATGAACGGTCTCGGGCTTAGCCGTGAGCTTGCCAACGACGGTCTCGAAGACGGCACGAGCATCTATGTATGTTAGTTTTGGCCTTACAACACGAATTTGTGGACTTACTAGTAGAATCATTGAGCTTGATGAGGTGCTTGATGTATTCCAATGCGAATTGCTCATCCTCTGGGAATAGCTTCATGCCCCGCTCAAAGATCTTTTGTGCAGCCGGTTCCTGATAGCAATGATGCTCGATGAGTGCACTGGCGACGTAGGCTTCACTGAGCAGCTTGCCCTTCTTACGAGCCTCTGTGAAAATACCACGGAAGCCACCAACCTCGCCTCTAGGATCTCCCTTACCTTGAACACGGCGCATAGCCCGCATCAGAGCTATCCATGCGTACGTGAGTGTCTTCTTGAGGTTTTGTGTTTGCGCATTGTACCCGGCAGACATGGCCTGGAGTTGAAGGTTGAAGGCATCCTCCTTTTCTTTCAAGCGTCGCTGCTGCACAACCTCGTCTTCGTCGTCAGCGTCTTCATTTTGCTGTGCGATTGCGCGAGCGGCATCGTCTGCAGCCTTCTGTGCCTCGAACTGCTCTTTCGCGCGGGAGATGGAATGCTCCTCTCGCTTCTTGACTTGCGCTGTCAGATCGTAGATGGTGTCTAAAAGCCTTTGGTATGGCTCCCGTACCGCCCTGCCCTTGGCAACGATGCCCGCCTGACCGTCTTCGAAGTCGGTGCGTTGCTCGACCTGGTTGGCCTTCTTAAAAGCTAGGAGACAACTCTCGGGGTTCGCGTCAATGCCGTCGTTGAGGAATTTGTCGCCTTCAGCCTGCAGGTTGTTCTCGTAGCACCACTCGGCTGCTTCGTACCAGAGTTCCGGCCAGAAGCGGAGGGCCATGAGAGCATTCTTGTACAAATGAAGAACACGCTTGTTGTATAGCTCCCGATTGTCGGTCGCGCACTCGAGTGGGTCACTCTTCTCCCACTGAATCCAGTTGTGCCATAGCTTCACTTGATTCATGTACTCCTCGTAACCATCGAAGCCAGCAGCGGGTGGAAGTTTGGGTAAGGTGGTTCGGTTGACGCCCCTCGTGATGTTGTTGTCTAGGACGTTGATCGCGCTGCGTGCAGTCATGTAGGAAGGTGACGTCTCTTGGAGTTGTTTGCGACCCTGTCACTCGTGTTAGTATCGTGTATGTACCAGGCAAAACGTAACATGACTCACCGAAACCTTGTTCACGCTCATTTCGAACTTGTCGTATTCCCGCCAAATTTCTAGGGTAGCATTGTGTGGTACTGAGACGGCGCGCTGGTATACCTTACGCAGAGTATCCATCTTCTGCATGTCCTGCCAGCTGCTGCCACCAAGGACACCTGGACCAGTCTTCAGCATCTCGATGTAGTCAAGCCAAAGCTTGCCAGCATGAACATCGAGACCGACGGAGTTGAGCACGAACTCGTAAGCTTGTGTGACGGTCTGACGATTCTGGCCATTCTGATCAGTGGTGAGGTTGAAGCGACGGCGGATGAAGTCGATGTAAGCAGAGTAGATGCCGAGATATTGGGCTGAGGGAATGGAGCGACCAAAGAGTTGCTCAACCCTTGGCAATTCATCAAGCTCAGTCTCAAAGGCAATGTACTCGACCCATTGCTCGCCCTAGACATGTTAGTACGTCACATGAGATATCGATGGACCTGCTTACTGATGAAGGAAAGACCTTGAGGAAACGCTCAAAGACAGCTCGTGCATCGTCGTGCTTGTGTCGCCTGCGGTGCTCCTCAATTAGACTCAACCACGCTTCGATGTCACCACGTGGATCTTCAGCAATGCGATCTTCAAGAATACCCACTCGGTCCTGAGGAAGACGAGCCTTTGGCAGAGAAGCAGACATAGGAGCTGGAGTAGCTGGAGCCACTGATGGGCGAGCTGAAGCAACAGTCATGACGTCTGGAGCACCTGGCTTAGTAGCGTCTGCAACAGGCGTACTGCCGTTAGGAAGAGAAGCAATAGAGGGAGCAGGCTCATTGACAGCGACAGAAGCAGAGATAGATGCGGGAGCCTGATCTTGTGCACTATGTAACTGTACATCTGGGTTGGGAATGGTATTTTTTGGAGAGTTTGTAAAAGATGGCTGGGGAGTCTCTGAAGCTCCAGTAGCATTCAGTGTAGCATTCGCCTCTTCTGGTTGCACAGCGGGCTCCTCTTCCTCGTCCTCGCTCTCGTCGACAAAACCACCCACAGTTCGCGGTCGCTTGGACTGCGGCGCTGCGGAGTCTTCTGCAGACGTCTGAGTAGGCTGGGGCTGCAGCCCATTCTCGCCCTCGGTATCGGCGGCCGGTGGTGAGTTTGCGCCAGACTCGGGCGGCATCGATGCCGACTGGTACGAATGCGGTGAGTATGTGGCGGCAGGGTCGTACTCGTCCTGTCCGGAGGGGGCGTCGTTCATGTTGTAGCCAGCGGAAGGGTCGTATTCGTCCTTTTGCGCTTCGAGGAAGGCGAGCTCAGCGTCGTCCGCCATGGCTGCGAGTGGGCGAGAGCTGTGATGAGCTGTCAGAACCGAGCGTGAAGTAGTAGTGGGCGTTTTATTACGATGTGCGCAGGCGTGCTTGTGTCGTAGACAATGCGTCTCTTTGTCGCGTGGTTAGTGTCTAGAAGGAGCGTTCCGAGGCGCGCGAGAAAGCGGAAGGCGTAGGGGCGGCCTTGACAGTAATTTCGGCAGGTGCAAAGGTCGCGCAAATAGCTTCCAAGATGCGCGCGGGTCGTTGGGATGATGCGCCGTTCACCGTGGTTGGGTTGAGCGGGCGCGTTGTCCTGAGGTGACAAAGGTTGCGAGTCGGCATCGGCGTTGCGGGCTTGCTCTCGGCGGCGGCCTGTCAGCCTCGTCCTTGGCACTAGCGCTCAACGGCGATGTCATCGCCAGGTACCGAACACATAGTCAAACATTCACTGAACCACCGGACGATTCACGCGCTCCTCCCACGATGGAAGTTTGGGATTCCCGGTGACACAGACATCCCAGACGCGTATTCGAATTCCCCGGTTCCCAGCATTGCGCCTTGCTTCAGCAGCTGCCTACAGACGGCCTACCACATCGCATAGCCCATCCAACATGAACCCACACATATCGCTCCCAAGGCCAACAGGCGGCCCGTCGAACTTTGGATCGACCCCATCGTCACGGCGGAATGAGGTCAAGATGCCGCGTTTCTTCAAGCGCATGTTCAAGTTTCCACAGATGGACTTTGAGATGGCCATATGGGAGATCATGAGCCTAATAATAGCACCCAAGAAGGTGTTCCGACAAATCTACTATCATGTATGCATTCCTAATCTCTACTGCGTGTTGCGCCCAACTGACCATGTGTAGAAACAAACCACCAAGACATACCACCGCCCCGACCCATCATTCACATACCTACTCTCCTTCTTCCTCACTCTCACATCACTTGCGTGGGGCTTCGCATACGCCGATGGCTTTACACAGACCCTTCATATTACCATGGTCTTCATATTTGGGCACTTTTTGGTGCTATCACTGTTGATCGCAACGCTGTTCTTCTTCCTAGTCGGCCGGTTATTGGGTCCGGACAACACATTGCTACCTGGGCGACGGAGAGGACTATACAACTTGGGAGAAGACTCAGGCAAGGAAGAGCTGGAGTTTGGTTACTGCTGGGATGTCGCCATCAGAGCGTTTGTGCCAGTCTGGGTGTTTCTCTACGTTGTGCAGTTCATATGCATGCCATTGATTGGCACTCACCACTGGTAAGAGTCAAAAACATTAACAGCTAGAACACATGCTAATAGTTCTAGGTTCTCACTGCTGCTTTCGAACACACTCTACCTGCTCGCGCTAAATTACTACTTCATCATCACGTTTTTGGGCTACAAGGAATTGCCCTTCCTACACCATACCGAGCTCCTTCTAGTTCCGGTAGCTGTTATGGCAATACTCTGGTTTGCGTCCCTCTTCGGTTTCAACATGTCGACACACTTCGCGCCAGTATTATGGACCGGCGCCAAGTTGCGGAAACACGTCTGATGCTATGCGCAGGGGAGGAATGTAGGGGATGCACATGTAGAGGGAAATCAAAAACACGGCGCAACACAGCATTGATTGCACAAGGACTTCTGGAATTAGGGTTGTTCAATGCCGGAATACAAATGATTCTAGCGAAGAAGTGAACCATCTTAGATACATAGCGAGCGTGCACTGAATACCGTCCAATGCCATAACAATCAGCGTATCAATATATATACATTCATGGATCTACATATATATACACGATGAAGGGTAACCCTCAATCCCCTCAATCATCGACCCCCAAACAGGCCATGTTAGTATACACGCACGAAGTTGCATTATCTTACAAGTTCCTCTTCTCAAACTTCTCCTCATAACACTGAATGCGATCACCAACCTTGAAGTCTTCCCAGCCTTCAAATCCGATACCACACTCGGTATCCTTGCGCATATGCTCCACATCTTTCTTCTGGTTCTTGAGCGACTCTATCACACCTGAACGTATCCGTTAGCATATGCTTTATTCCAAACTACGGCCTGTAAAAACTTACCATCGTGAACAACGGTCTCGCCACGGAGTACCCTGGCCTTGGCACCCCTGTCAACAATACCATTGCGAACCTTACTTCCGGCAACCTTCAGCTTTTTCTTGCCGCCGAGACTGATCTCAAAGACTGCTGCGATTTCCACTTCACCCGTGACCTTTTGGGTGACCTTTGGTGGGAGCTTCTCTGATAGCACATCTTTGACGTTTTCAACGACGCGGTAAATGATGTTACTGTCTAGGATCCTAACACCCTTCTCTTCCGCTAGTTTGGCTACATGGTTAGGGATTGTAGTATTGAAATTGATGATGTGCCCCTTTGCGTCGGCGGCGTGCGAGATATCAAATTCAGATGGCGCGCCGACACCGTGGCGGAGGATACGCGTTGATACTTCTGCATTGCCGAGTGCCGAGACGGAGTCGATGACTGCTTCAACAGAGCCAGACACATCACCCTTGATGATGAAAGAAACAACTTCGGGCCCAGCTTCTTTCTTCTCGGCGACTACAGCTTCCTCACCATTCTTGATGGCCTTAGCAGCGGCCTCTTCAGCCTCGCGACGTTCGGCCTCTGCACGGCGAGCTTCATTGATGGCTTCCATGTCACGCGCCATCTGCTCTCTGTCGACCTTTTCGCTGCGAAGCTCAGTCACTGAGCTAGCGTGCTGTTCATCCTCTGCCTGAAGCACCTCGTCGCCAGCGATGGGCTGGTCGCGCCAGCCGTCGATTTCGACAGCCATACCAGGTCCCACTTCCTTGACCACGGCACCAGCTTCGTTGCGTAAAGTACGTACGCGCGTCCAAGTAGTTCCTGCAACAAGCAATGTACCCTGGCGAAGAGTACCGCTACGAACTAGGACGGTAGCCACACGTCCAGATTTCTTGGTGGCACCCTCGAGAACCCACCCCTCAACTGCGGCTGCAGGATCGGCGCGGTGGTCCAACATCTCTGACAATGTTGAGATGGCTTCTTCCAAGTCCGGAATGCCCTGTCCGGTCTTTCCACTAACACAGACGGCTTGAATATCACCTCCAAAGTCCTCAATCTCAATACCATGACGACCGAGATCAAGCTTGACAGCATCAATGTCGGCTTGCGCTTTATCGATTTTGTTGATGGCGACAATCATAGGCACATTCGCCGCTTGTGCGTGCTTGATAGCCTCGACTGTCTGGGGCATGACGGAATCATCCGCAGCAACAACCAAAACCACAATGTCGGTCACGTTGGCTCCACGAGCGCGCATCGTTTCGAAAGCAGAGTGGCCGGGCGTGTCGAGGAATGTGATCTTCTTCCCGTTTGCCAGAGGAACACTGAACGCGCCAATGTGCTGTGTGATGCCGCCGAATTCGGTAGCCGCCACACTGGTCGAACGCATGTAGTCGAGAATAGTCGTCTTGCCGTGATCAACATGGCCCATGATTGTGACAACAGGCGGCCGTGCAGGAAGCTCAGCGTAAGCCTCAGGCTCTAGAGGCGGCGCAGGATAGAGGTCGCCATCATCTTCCTGTGACTGGAAAATTGGCTCGAAGTTGTACTCCTGCGCGATGAGACCGGCATGCTCCGCGTTTAAGATGTGGTCATTTTGAACATCCTCAAATCCAAGCTCTTCCAGTTTCTGCACAAAGTCTTCCACCTTTAGCCTCAGAGCGCCCGCCAGGTTAGCTACACTGATGTACTCGGGTAATGATATTGGCGTGGGCTCGTTCTTGGCAATTTGTGCTGCCTTCTTCGCCTCAGCTCGTAATCGCTTACGTTCTTGCTTGCTGACCTGTGGCCCATCTTCATCCTCCTCTTCATCCCGTTGTATGCGCCGGTTCCTGCCCTTGTTCCCGCCTTGTCGTCGCTGGGGCTCCTCGTATCGATTCTTGACCCCTCCTGCCTCGTCAAAGGCAAAGCGGCTTCGCCTTCTCTCGCTCTCCATGTCATTGCGCCGCCTGCTGTCTTCCTCTATCTGCACCTGCGCCGACCGCTCGATTTCCAGTTTGCCTTTAGACTTCTGCACCCATGCCTCTGCCGCATCGGATATCGATTCCTGGTAGCGGTGAGGTGGCGTGTATGTTGTCGTCTTCTGTTCCGATCGTCCTTGGGGCGGCCGCTCGCGAAGTGTCGGTTTCGTTGGGCAGGCGTTGCTCAGGTGCTCCTTCGACCCACAGTGGAAACATGTTCTTTGCGCATTCATGTCCCTTGCAAGTGGTTGGTATGGCTTTCGGTTTGTGGACGCATCACCCAATAACCTAGATATCTCGTCTTGGTCCAGCATCTTGCTTTGCGGCGGAGGCCTAGAAACCTGTGGTGACCTTCGATCGTCTGCTCCGAAGGGCGCGCGTCCAGGCTGTGGTTCGTTTCGTCGTCTCAAGTGACCTGAGCCAAATGCTGGAGTGTGGACAGGCGGTCTTGAATCCATGTTAACAGTATAGCGATTCTGCGGTGGAGGCCTATAGTCATTCCCCCGGTCGTTCACCGTGTTCCTCCTGGCCCCAGGTCCAAAGCGGTCTCTGTTCTGATTCCGTGCCGGCCCATCGAAGACACCACCTCTGTTCATTGCCCGCCTTTCTGGCTGATTCTGCCGTGACATCTGTGACTGGGCATATGTAGGCGTTTGTGTTGCCAACGATGCTCTCATCCTCTCTGCCGGCGACATATGTCCTCCGTGTTGTTGCGGCGGAGGGGCATGGGGAGCGCTGGCTGCCAACGCTTGCCGCATACGCTGTGCCTGCGATATTGGTTCATCGCGCTCATTTGCATCTTTGTATATGATTCCCTCAGCCGACTGCGGGGTTCTGCTGGACGAGTTGAGCTCTCTCCGTTGCGTAGCGCTGGATGATGTAGCGAGTGTATTCGACACGGCTAACTGACGGGTGGCGCAGAAGATGCAGATGTCGCGGGTTGAAGAAACCTGCCGCTGTTAGTCGAGACATGTTCAATCGCCAATTGACTTTTATTGATCCTCACCCGAAGTCCACGCGCTCTCCGCATATTGGGCGATGTGGTGCGTAATGGTTCCGAAGATTGTTGGAGTGCATCAAAAGTTTGGCCTCTGTCCCGCCGGCGGATCCTTGCCTTGCCCATCAGTTACTAGCGTAGCGCCACGGCCTGCGGAGTTGCCACGCTCTACACGATTCATTCAATTCACTATTTGCCATGCCCAGTCTTGAAATTAGGATATCATTCATTCCAAGTCCAGCTGGACATTGCATATAACCGAGAAAAGTAATTTGTAAATATTCTTTCTTCGCGCACATCAGGATGCGCCAGTAGACTATCTGCAGCTCCCTCAGCATTGCATCGAATGAGAGGCTTAGAAAATAAGCAGCCCATGATTGCGCCCCAACTCCCGCGTTGAACACATCTACTCCCTAGCCTCCTTCATTCGAAGCTTGACACCATCCGCCGGTGCAGTCGTCAAGCTCAACCCATTTCTAACGTATCCCATGCCACCCTTCTCTGTTGGCTCCCAAGTGTTCCCAACACCCTCAATGGCCTCAAATCTCTGCACCAGCCTTACAATGGCGTAACCAGCTTCTGTCAGAGCAAACTGCTGGCCGATGCAGATTCTTGGACCACCGTTGAAAGGGAGATACTCCCATCCACTCTTCCTGCCGTTCCAGCGCTCGGGTTTGAATTCGTCAGCATCGGCACCCCAAAGGTCTTTACGACGGTGCATGATGTATACACTGTAGTCTACCTGCGTGCCCTTCTTCACGTAGACACGTCCGGTGCCGTCTGGGCCGCCACCGACAGGTAGAGTGGTATCTTTCAAGGCACGGCGACCATCGACAGGGACCACTGGGTAAAGACGCAGAGTCTCGTTCAGAACCCACTGCAGATAGTTGCACGACTTCAACCCTTCAAATGTTATCTCCTGTGGGTTGGAATAGGTACCAAACGACTCCAGGACAATGTTACGTAGGTTCTTGAAGACGTCCTCGTGCTGTGACAGCACCATGAAGACATATGATAGTAGCGATGCTGTAGTATCACGACCGGCTAAGAGGATTGAGATGGATTGTTCTCGAAGCTCAATGGGGTCGCGGGTTGACTCTGCAAGCGCATCAAGGAAGACGTACTTCTGCTTGCCGTGTGACTTCTCCTGAGTGGTGCTCTTGTCTTTCGATAGTGCAAGCTGGACGAAATGGTCAATGAATGCGTGGCAGCGTCTGCAGTGTTCTTTGAACTCCTTGTTGTAGACGAGCCAGTAGGCCTCTTGCAATCGGCCAGCTGTGGCGATAGTGCCTTGGGCCTTGTCGAATGAATTGGCAAAGTCTTGTTCGTTTACAGCCATTGGGGGTTTGCTGGACTTGTAATCGGGCAGCGCGGCAAGCTGAGAATCAACACTTTCGCCAAAGAGGAATTCTGTGGCGCTATCGATGGTCAGACGGAAGAAGAGCGGTTTGAGGTCTGTAACGTCTGTCCAGCCGTCCGAGTTGGTGCGAATTACTCGCATCATATTCTGCACATGCTCCTCTTCGAGATCCAGATCGCTCACCTGGTCTCGCGCAAACTGAGGCCGAAGTAGTGATCTTGAATGTGCCCATTTCTCGCCGTCGCTAGAGAACTGCCCTATGTTAGCAACTGACATGCTTGTAGCCTAATCTATAGCAATACTTACAATGCCGTGACCAAGCAATGGAAAGAAGTTTCCATTTCGCCTTTCTCCTAGTCCAAAGTCTTTGAACTGCGTAGCCAACAGAGCCTGGATGTTTTTTGGTTCGACCGTGAAGAAAGATTCGGCACCCATCATGTTCTGGTGGAACGTGCTGATGACTCTGCCCTCTCTGTCACTTGCGTCATCGACTCGCTCTTTCAGATACTGCGGCAGACGAGCTTGTTTATCCGCCACGAGTATCTCCGCGATGTTCTGAACTCCGAGAGGATCAAGCGGCGACTGCTTCTTTGGATGGGCGGGCAAGCAGCCCAATTGACGCGCGGCAGCAGCATGGCGGCGTGAGATGATGATCGAAGAGATGATCTTGTAGAGAACATAAGACACGCCAGCCCAAGCTGCTAAGAGGATAGTATTGTGCATTTTGGAGGTGATGCTCTGCTGTGAGAAAGGATGGGTGCAGACCAATGGGTACTGTTGGTGACCAGCGCAACTTATCAATGAGTTCACCTGGTTAAGTATGGGAATTTATCAACTACGCCCTGTCACTAATGCAACAGGGTCCATCTGGCGCTTCCGCTTGCAACGTTCATTTAGGCAACTTGCCGCAAGGATGGGGACGAATTGGTCCATGCGACTCGCACCTGTTCACGACCCGTTGGCTCCTCGGAATCGTCATTGCGCACTAATCGCGCGCGGGACGGATGGATAAGAGCTCCGATTAGGTCCTTGTCTCACACAGAAGAGTAATCGAGCTCGCATTTACTGGCTGTTGATGAAACCGTTACTCTTCCCCGCCTTTTTTGGTTCGGGTTCCTTGGCCTTTTGGAAGCCCTACCCGGACGAGTTCTGTTGTTTTCTTGCATACAACACGCCTCGGTAATTATGGCTGTGCACCCGTTACGTCGGAGCCTAGAATGTTAAGGCGCTTTCAACGTTCGGTTAGGAGCCAAGTGTCATTTTGTGAAGTGGAATGGGTCCACTTCAAGCGGGTATTTTGATAGTTCGATATGCCGTGCCTAGGACATGCCTTTCTCATACGGGAGTCTGCAGCGACAGTCGTCGGACGGAAGAGGAAGCTCGTAGACCTGCAAGTGTAGCGTGTGTCTGGCTCTGCCAAGTGTTCCGAGATCCCGGGCTGGTGAAACTTTGCGACTGCCAACAGGGACCGTCAAAGACAGCCCACTTCCGACACACGAGGGCCACGCGGACGCTTGCGGACTGTGGAGAGAAACTCAACAACAGGTCATTGTGACTGCAGCATGCTTCGCGTGCAAAACGTTCCGTCGATCGATTTGTCCTGGTCTGCGCAGCTGTTCACTAAACCATTTTTTGCTCGTTCCCTGTAATCTCCCTTGCGTTGATGAGACGGCGCGTTGAGCGGTAAAAGCGAGTGTTCGGGATTGAGCAAACGTCTCCCGTGAAGTGCTTTGGTGGTAGAATCGAAAGGCTACATGAGTTTGATCGAATCAATGTCATGAAAATGTTCAGCCTGATGCAATGATGCATTGGTTGCAGAATCCAAATGCGGCCTAGTCATTTCGAAGTGGCTCCGAACATTCAAGCGAGTGAGTAGCTCCTGTGACTCTCACTCATGACACAGTAAGGGTAACGACTCCACTCGCAAAAGCTTCGGATCAGTTCAAAGCCACTGATTGCAATGAACCGATTGTTTGGAACCTGTAAAGAGCCAACTTTGACAGCATGAAGGAATATCTTCAGCATACAGCCTAAGCCCTCGTGCATTCCACCTGATCTCCAATCCCGAAATCAACTACACGAACACAGATGCTGGCTGGGACGGTTTAGAGCGCATCATGCATGTAATACTCTTCGCTGATACTCAGATCGCGGCTCTCTACCTAGCACTAGAGATGACTATCGAGCACTGAAAACAGCTCTTCGGGTACTGTCTGTAGAGGCCATCTGCCTCACCAGGGATCAACGTGGAAATGTTTAGTAAACAAAATTTCGTCCGGATCTCGAGCGTTGAGAAAGTTGCATAATAACGATACCTACAGTTACCTGAGAACGCATTTCCGATGACCACTGAGAGTTTGTTAGGACTGAAGAGGCCTGGGCTTTGGTCGCGAGACTTACGAGCATAACCTTCAGCTTCTGAAGATCTTCAAAAGTCTGAATGCCTCCATGCCTAAATCAGACGCACATAAAAGAACGATACTACCCTTCCGATTGGGTGGTATTGTATAGTGAGGAGAAGGTGAAAAAAGTTGCTGGCCTGGATCATTTACCAGTCGAAAAAGAGTTAGAGTGCTAGAAGGGCATCCGTGAGTTCTGTCTGCTCGACGAAGACGCATAGAAGAAGCCCAAGAACGCCTCACGCAGCGTTCTGTCCTACAGCGACGATTGTGACGCCTGTAGAGACTGATGAACTTGTTTCACGCGAGTTGTGGGCTAAGATTACGACATGATCACTATACAATTCGGAGCAGTTGTTCTGCAATATGTGCCCACCGTAAGGTTACAAACTGTTATACCGAGCAGGCACCACAAAGACCGATAACAGGGCAAAGTCTGTCCAGGAGTCGTAACCTGTACATGGCCTGAATCTGAATTGGAACTAACCGTCTTGTGCGCCGGTGCCTCTTTCCGGTTTTGCGTCACGCATCTGCTGCAGGGGAATGAAGTCCATGGATACCACTTGATCATGAACTCCTAAAACTGAGATAATATTCAAAGGGTTTGCGCCAACGAGGAACAACTCCTATAAATAGGGTCGCCATCAGTAAGCATACTCTGAGGCTGACTCGACGAATCAGCATCTACCAAGCCACCATCCCGATACCGCTTACGGTCAGAGGAACGGCAGCCACAAGCTGCGGCTTGTAAGCGCTACAGTTTAGTTTCGCTGATACATCACGACGCAATCTGCGAAGCGATCAGTCAATTGCCGTTTGGAGCTGGTACAGCTGAAGCTGCTGATGTAACGACATGAAGATCACCATGATGATCTCCGTACAAGTAGGAGGACGCAATGCGGCGCAAGTAAAAGGCCACGCAAAACCTTCAAAACTTCCAGTTCTTTGGAAAGCTACTCAAATTTCTTTGCAGTGATATAAAGAAGAAATGGCTGCGCATACGTACCATACCTCGACGTCTTTTGCCTCACAAGAGCAAGACTTACAACATTTGCTACCACAGACTATGACTTCCTCAGAATTTTCATCCTCCATGGCATCTCACTCGATGCCACTCCAATCTACATATGACAGCCAAATACTACCATATGCCGATTTGGAGGATCTCAAAGAAGCCGAGATCGAAGACAGAGTACGTCAACCTCAACAAAGAAGCACTACAAGGATGATGATATTGAGACTAACATCTACTCGAGCACCTAAAAACGCGCATACGCAAACTACGCATCGTATCTCGCACCCTTGCCTTGTTCATATCCATCGCAGTCCTTGTTCCCACTGCGCTCACCCTCTACAAGTTCCTCAGCACACGAACGATCTACCGCACCGTCGCACTTCCCAGCGGCCAAAGCGTTTCGCGTACACCCTGGGCTCACAACACGCGCGCATGGCCAACATACATGTACTTTGGCGTTGCGGCCGTCTCCGTGCTGCTCAATTTCACAACAATGTTCTCTTATAAATTTGGCATTGAGAAAGCCAACGTAGCAAGCGTCGTTACGAGTACTTTCAGCTGGATCAATCTCATTGGGAACCTCGTGGTATGGTGTGTAGCTGCAGGCTTGTATCGCGCGGAGAAGAACAAGAACGGAAAGAGTAACGATCTCTGGGGATGGACATGTAGTGCAGGTGCGAGGGCGATCCAGAAAGAATTTGTGGGCGATATTGATTTCGGCAGATATTGCAACGTGCAGGTAAGTCGAATAGACTGCAGAGCTTTAGGAAAGGACTCGAATGACACAATAGCAGAGTGCGAGTTGGTATATCGGTATTGTACAGGCATCCGCTGCGCTTTTGACTGTGGTCATTTATGTGTTGGTTTACTTAAGACGAGGAACCAAGAAGGAGGTGCAGCGGCAATTGAAGATGAGCGGGTACGAACGAAGCAGACATTGAACATGCGAAGATTTGCATCACGCCTGAGAAACACACGTCACAACAACCCTTCTCATCCGGATACCAGCCTCGCCCTCTAGCCGGTACCTGTAAGAGAAGCTTATAGGTGCCTCGGTATCCCCAACAACCATACCACGCCACCCCTTTGCCCATGCTTGTCGCACTTACCAACCGGCCCCAAAACCCGTTGTTTTGCATACACATGATGTATCTATATTCACCTGTTCCAGATCTCTTGCTCTTATGTTACCTCTTCGGTGGCTTGGCTGCATGTACCAAACCCCAACCCAGACCCTGCTTACCAAAACCAGCAAGACCCTTGCTAGGAACAGGCAGTGCTCCATGGTTTACACTCGGGAAATATGTACCAAACAGGTGATATGGGGAATGGAAAGGCGGGGAGAACATCCAAGCAATGCAGACTCCACAAATATCCGCTGCATGGGAGACAGAGAGGCGGGATGGGGACAACCATGCGCGAGATGCGGAGGGTTAAAAGGCGGAGCGACCCACTGCGATTACTATTCGGGCGATCATCACAATTCCCTTGCTTACTCTGGCCGTTGACTTGAGTGAAGAATCTGCAAAATGCTGGTATGTCAGAAAAGAGAAAATGACTGAAGGAACAGGAAGACTGATGATATGATTAGTACGCACGTTCATTGCCTGCGCGAATATGTATGACGAGACTCCTACTTGTTGCAGGAGGCTTGGTCCAACAAACGCAAGATGAATGTGATCAAGACTGCTTGCTGGAGCGAATCGAGAAGCTTGAGAGGGATTATGCGTTGATGGAGGTTTTCGTGGTAGGTATAGACTGGTTCACCTGCCAATCGTAAATGAGACAGTCTAGCATGCTGACCATGGGTATAGTTTCCAGGTGAAGTTACTTCTCCATTGTTTACAGCATACTCGGCTGTTGCTCCACCCAGCGACCCCACCTCAACATTCAGCCCGTCGAGTCACTACACTACATTCATCACTTCCGGGATCCCCTTTCCGTCTTCTGTGTCCACCAGCCAAACGAAAGTGCAGTCCTCAACACCAGGCACACCTTCTTATTCGACTCCCCAATCGCAAACCTCATCAACCGATACTATCCCTGCTGACCCTAACATCCCTTTTCGTCCTGGCTACCGCTCAGTAGCTTATTACGGGAGCTGGGACATCTATACACGGAACTTCCAGCCCCAAGAGATACCAGCAAAGCGGTTGACCCATTTGCTTTACTCATTTGCTGATAACAAGCCTGATGGCACCGTCTTCTTGACAGACTCACACGCCGATGCGGAGAAGCACTATGCAACCGATTCCTGGAACGATGTGGGAAATAATTTGTACGGATCACTCAAGCAGCTCCAGATTCTGAAAGCCAAGAACAGGAACTTGAAGGTGCTATTGAGCATAGGCGGATGGACATATACCAACACAAACAAGCACATGGACGGCCCTATGGCTACGGCTGAAGGCCGGCAGCGCTTTGCATCTTCTTGTGTTGAATTGATCCGCGACTATGGCTTTGATGGGATTGACGTGGATTGGGAATATCCTAAGGACAAAGAGCAAGGGCATCAATGGCTGGAGCTGTTGAAGGAGATTAGGAGCCAGATGAACAAATATGCCGATAAGCTCGTGCATAAGGACGACTCTGGATATGAACTGAAGCCGAAGTTCCTTTTGACGATTGCCTCGCCGGCTGGTGAGAAGAATTACAGGAATCTGCCTTTGAGGGAAATAAGCGAAGTTACCGATTTTATAAACCTGATGGTAAGCATGTTGTTTCCCGGTCGCAAAGGCACATGAGCTGACGAGAGTATAGGCATACGACTACGCTGGTTCCTGGGACAAGCAAACCGGCCATAACTCGAATCTCTATCCTTCAACGTCGAATCCCCTGAGCACACCCTTCAATACAGCTTCTGTCCTGGCCGCCTACAACGCTGCTGGCGTTCCGTCCTCCAAACTCAACCTTGGCATGCCGCTCTATGGTCGCTCCTTCACCAATACTCAAGGTGTAGGGAAGTCATTCGACAGTACTGGCGAGGGGTCGTTCGAGAAGGGCATCTATGACTTCAAGGACCTACCGGTAGCAGGTGCACAAGAGTATTATGATGAGGAGGTTGGTGCATCCTATAGCTATGACGAGGGAAGCGGCACATTTGTCAGCTACGATACTATGGCCATGGCGCTGAAGAAGGTTGACTACATTGCGCAACAAAAATTGGGTGGCGCCATGTGGTGGGAGATCAGCGGTGACAGGACGGATAACGCCGGGAGCATTGTGCAAAATGTAGGTTGCATGCGCAAGATGGTGGAGATGAATTGTGTGCTAACTTTTGAAAAGATTATTGAGAAAATGCGCGGCGGCGGAAGTGGCGCAGGCATTGAGTCGTCCTCCAACTGGCTCCTGTACCCGGACTCAAAGTTTGACAACATCAGGAATGGCGTCCTCACGCCACAAGTCGCCCAGCGGCTGCGTAGGGCCTGAGTCGTTGGCACAGGTGCAGCTATAGGCGAGTATGTCAGGTGCTGCGAACTTAAAATCGCGTCAGTTGTCAACGATTCAACGATCGTCATCGGTAAACGTTGAGATGGAGCATTGGTGGCGCGAGCACTCATGCGTTCTCATAGATGTAGTAATAAAACTTGTGTCATATACCTTACCCTTGAGAAATTTCGCTTATTGCCAAGCTGGAACATACTCTGGCACTGGATCTCCGTGACACAGTTGCAGCAGTGTTTGAGGCTCTGTTGGACCCTGGGTGTACGCGACGACGCGGAAGCTATGCTGCTTCTGGCGTAGATCTTCCTCGATATATTGCCAGTGTTGGTATTCTGCTCGACCGGCGTCCTACGATGGCCGACTAGGGTGCTAGAGGTGGAAAAAAGTTTACACGATCACAAAGGCGGCGGATCTACTGCTGGTGATTGTCGTTGAATTTGTGTGGTGTCTGAGCGCATGACGGCTAGGATATGCCCGCCGCGCGCCTGCATGCCGCCTGCCGAATCATATGTACAGGAAGTAAACGCCCTAGCTCCATTTATGCGGCGAAAGTAATAGCAGTCGTACGATATAGCACCAAAATGTGCTGGTAGGGTATAGTAAAGTCTGTCTTGGGCACCAGAATGTGCTCATTTTACTGCCTCCTGACCTCTTCTGGCGAGCAGGTGTCGGCAGGCGGGAGCAAGCGCTGGTAGGATTGCTCGCCAACAATAGTCGACTCCCTATGCTCCAGGAAGGTGCGTATGCGCTCGTCGCGATCTCCACTTGCGCTCAGGGTAGCATTCCTACTCCGCCGATACTCCATGCTCGCCTCTCGGTGTATCTGGTCCCGCCTCTCAATAACTGAGTTGTTGAAGGTGTTAAACCTGGTGCCCTGCACGACACCACCTATGCTTACAAAGGCAAAAATGAGGGCCATGAAGGTGAAGTTGGACATCTGGATGGTTCGCGCGTCATCCTTGCCGCCGCCGCCGTTTTCGTAGTGCCAGCGCTCCCAGTCTTCCCATGTCGCATTGGTACGCGGGTCCGTGGCCCAGCGATTTGGATCATAATTCCAGTCGTTATGGCGGGGTACGGTGGGTGTCTGGTGGTGGCCGGCCCAGCCGTGGCCCCAGGCATCATACGCTTTGCGTTTCTGGACATCAGACAAGATGTCGTGTGCAGCGACTAGCATTCGATAGCGCTCGAGGCGCACGTGAAGGGGCAGCTGAGCTATAGCGGCCGAGGCATGGCAGCGGTCGGGGTGGTAGAGCTTGACGAGGGCATAGAAGCGGTGCTTGGTGTATGCATCGCCCTTTCTGCATTTGAGAATCTGGTAGGGCGTGGGTGTTTTGTGTGGTTTTTCGGCATCTGGCCATTTCAGCAGCTCTACGTCGTCGGGGTACGCGGGCACATGCTGATGCTGGGCGTAGCTGCGCCGTTGTCGTGCGGGCTCAAGACGTGGGAATGTATGACGGCATGACTTCCGCGGCTGTGGAGGGCAGCAGCCCGGGACGTGAGTATAGTATAGGGGACTGAGGTTAGTGTAGGACGAAATGAGTATCGACGACTTCTTAGACAGCATGGTCAAGCAACGGCAGCCGTGGACGGGCGCGCATCTCAAAGCTTCAGTCAGGTGTCGGAGCAGATGGGTGGGGTGGTGAATGCTGGTGGCGTCGGCGCGCGCATGGACGATCGCCGCGCACTCCGCGGGCTTTGGGCGCATGCGCGATCAATCCACCGGTACCTCGCGCTAGCCCGCTTACACAGCACATGCGACACTTTGAATGCGAACAGGAGTTGCCGTTTTTTTTCTTCGCTCTTTGCTGACCCAACTTCTCCGACGGCGCCGTCGTCTCAGAAGGGAAGCCACTATGCAGGTGCGGTCTCTTCCGCTCCCCTCCAGTTGCTCAGACCCGACGCCGGTGGAGCCTCTTGTTCCGCGACTCAGCCTGTCTGTTTGACGTGAACTCCTTCGCCTCGCTTGCGCATGCCTTGGGAAACTGCCCCTGCAGCGAGACAAACACTCGGGTCACGACGCATGAAATCTACCCTGGAACCAGCCTGCCGCCTATTGTCTTTGTCCTCTGCAGAGTGGGCTAACTGTGGGGTCTAGAGGGCACATCCTGACTTCTATAACCGTTTGTTATCACTCCCTGTCGTGCCTCCTCTCCTCCACTCCCTCTACGCCTTTGCTTCTTACTGTCCTTTCCGCTCTTCATTTACATAAATATCTGCCTACCTTTCATGTTGACTGCCTCACGCACTTCCCACACAACTTCCAGCCCCCTGCAAGTAAACATGGCAAACATCTACGACAGTAACCGACACCCTCGGGAAGGGTACTTGAATCTTACCCGTCGGATGGAAAACGAAGAAGAAGACCAGTTCGATGTCGACTTGACTATCTTGGACTTTCTCGTTTACAAGGCCATTGGCTTGATATTCGAATGGAGAACAAGCAGTGACCCTTATCATTCCGATTTGCCCAATGCACTCGTCAACATGACCGCTGGTATGAACGGACATGATCTCCTTGTTGTAGCACTTACTGACGAAATGAAGACTGGAGAACGTTTTTGGGTCACAGGCACCATGGCCGACGTCTAGACCCCAAGGCGTCGTTTCGGTCCCGGTTGTTGCAGTTCGCCCTAATCTTTACGCACAGACTGCACCATGACGAGACATGGACAACCGAGGAATCACTCGACAGTCTTCGTGAACAGAACAAGAGCCGTGGCGAGTACTGGCAACAACGAACTCAGCATCCTTCTGCACTCCAACAGCCCTTCGACCAGCAAAAAGATTTTCCTTTATCCGATGGCGCGCTTTACGAGAACCGATCAGCCCTTGCATCCGCATTGAGCATGCCTCCAGATCAGAGGAGATGGGTGACTGATGTAGCAGGTACACCCTCACTCCACTGCTTATTGCCAGTCTTCATCGAACTCACGGCCGCCCGTGTGAACCTGGATGATGACTGGCTCCCAACTTCTGAATGGTTTGACTTGGCAGGGCAATTCATGCTGCAAGCTGTCATAGGCGAATATCTTCGCAATGGTGCTTACGGCGACGAGACTTTCAACACCATCTTCGCGTATGGCTGCCCTGGTGTCGAGCGCTGGGCGGAAGAACCAGCTGACGTAGCCGCTATGCGAAAACTCTTTTGCGCTGAAGGCAACCTCCGAGAAGAGAACCGCGAATGGACGAGGATCAAACAACAATACGTCAGCGAGCTTCTGCCACGAGACCGGTCCCAGTCAAGTCTTCAAGCGATAGAAGCAGCTCAGGAACGGCATCCATATGCTGCTTTTGAGGAACAGCTTCTCTCTTTCCTCAGGTATCTGCATGATGGTCTAGTCAAGCCAGATCTCGCTCAGGTCGAAGAAGGTCGCATCAACATCGACGGCAATGAACTCTCTGAAGCCGAGTCGAGAGCGATGATTCGGCGCATGTGCCTTTAAAGACTCTGTCATATACCAGCCTCTGATCTCGGCCGGTTCTGATGGGAATTTTTCGGATGCCTGTTTCTTTCTCCGACCGTTCAATCTCGCATCTTCGTAGTAGCGTATGCCGTTCTTGTTTATACCTTTTGAAGCATCGACATTTTTCTCTTCTTACCTTGCGAATTATTCTTCCAGAACCACAACATTCATACCAAAAGTCATAGCTGCGCACGTTTTGTACCATATACCCAAATTAGCTAGTCAGGACATCGACACAGGCATGTAGTCGATGCAGTCATTCAACATTTATCAGCCGCTCGGTGGCTATTCGATTTCGACTCTACTTTCCATAACAGAATACTTTCAAATCTCCTGCTACATCCCCGATCGCCTTCCTTGCTTCATCACTCCAAGCGCCCATCTGCAACCACCCATGCGTCATATCACCATAGTGCCTCCACCTGACTTCGTTCCCAGCCTCTCTCAATTTACTCGCATACTCGACACCCACATCCCTTAACGGATCGAAGCCACTCGTATACACACTCGCCCTCGGAACATCCTTCAGATAATCTAGACTCTGCATACCAGGCGAAATGTACTGATGCGAAGGCGGCGTACCACGCGGCAAGTAGTGGTCTGCGAAACTGAAGATTCCATTGCATTCGAGGTAGTAGCCGCTGTTATTTTTAGTAGCTGCAGGAGTATCAAAGGGAAGGCGCGCCTCGGGGTAGAGCAAGACCTGAGCTGCCAGTGGCTTCTTCTTTTGATCCCGGCGTCGGAGACAGATTGCTGCTGTCATGTTTCCGCCTGTTGAATCGCCGCCGCCACAGACACGATCAGGGTGAACGCCTCGTGCTTTGCCTCCTCCGCCCTGAAGCCAATCGATAACGGTGTCGTATTCGTCTAGTTGGGTTGGGAATTTGAACTCTGGTGCGAGACGGTAGTCGATTGCATAGACCTAGAACGGTCAGATTAGTTCTTCATCTTCTTGTATTTCTTGGCTTCAAACATGATGTACCTGTACCCCACTCTCCTCAGCAACCTGCCTCAACCCATTCTCAAACTCATCTACACTTCCTACTGTGTAACCCCCGCCATGGAAATATACCCATGCCCCATTCTCGCCTTCTGCCTTTTCGCTTTTCGGATACAGAACTCGGACTGGAATCGTTCCATGCGGGCCTCGCACAGCCGTGAATTCTACTCTCCCAATGGCATGTTGCTTGTCTTCTGGGATGTTGTGAAAACCAAAGACTTCAAGATGCTTTCTCCGCTCAGCGTGAAAGTCTTCGTCTCCGCCGAGATGAAGCGAAGAATGTGATTCAAGAAAGCGGGATATGGAAGAACAGAGCGTGCTACAGTCACCTGTTTTTGGGATGTGGGAGTCGGAAGATAAAGAAGACATTATAGGAGAGAAAAAGGTCAAACTTGTCGCTTGTATGCTTGCGTATGAAACAGAAGTTAGCTGGGGTTTTACTTGCGATCCCGCTCGTTGGGCTTTCGCAATAGTATTTCTTTTTTCATGTAATTGCCTTCCGTCATACTGTGCATAGTCCTACGCGTGATGACGCAAACGTCATTGTTACTCGTCGGTTCCAGAATTCTGACCGGGTGGACGCGTGGAATGCTTCCTTCCGATTTCAGGTTGATGAGGAGTGGAGTCCGTAGGCCCACGATGTGCGCACGCCAATATCCGGAGCATAGTTTTATACCCGACCCTGAGAGTCTAGTCATGAAGACGCGCTAGCGAATATGTGGATTCACCCATTGTTATGATGATATGATCTTGATTATCAAATACTTCTTATTTGGTTTGAGAGAGATATCGCGTATCCTGAACCTAATCTTACAACATGTCGTCAAACGTAGCGATGAGCGCCCTAAAAGGCGGAGGTATATGTACAAGAATCAAAAGGGGCTTTGACTAGCAAATTAGATAGCAGAGTAAACAGCAGTGCATCCACGTCCGCATTCTACCTTTTGCTCAAACTCCACTGTCCGGCCGTTGACCTTGACCTTGTTCCTTGGTGTAATTTGGAACCGATGCATTTCCTTCTCTCTTAGTTGTTTTCCGAACCCACCGGCAGACGCAGCGCGTTCTAGCTCGGCAGCTTGGTCAAGTGGCTGGATATATGCTGGTGTGGCTAGGTTGCTCCGCTTTCCACTACCAATCTGGTAGAACTCGTTGTTGCCCCAGAACAAGATGTCGCGACCCCAGTTCGTGTCGTTGTCTGTAAGCTTTCTCGATCGACCGGATACAGCGACGCTGGCGACATTGTCGAGAATGGCGGCAGCATGTGTTGCGCCGACAGAGATGGTGGATAGGCGAATGGGAATTGCAGTGTTCTTGACTTCATCCCATTCGAAGAGACCGGAGAAAGCAGGGACTTTGACGGGGTCTGCCTGTGTGTGCACCCATCGACCAGTACCTAGTTGACCTGTCAGACCGAATCCGAAGGCCCAGGTGTCTGCTGTGGTTTTGTTGCCCTTTGTCGCTTCGGTAGCAAGGAAGGACGTGTTTCCGCCAGCGAAGACGTTTGTTACCTTGCCTACCTGGCCAGAGTAGAGCTTTTGTGTTGGGAGTAGGGATGGAGCGTCAACGCTTTGTGCCTCGGCATTGTACGGGAAGCCCAATTGGCCAGAGGTGTTGTCGCCAAAAGTAAAAGCGCGTCCTTCGGAGTCGCAGACTAAGCTGTGGTAGTCACCAGCAGCGATCTTCTTGACGGGGAAGCCCTTGAGCGTAGTGATCTCGTGAGGAATGTCGAAAGGCCCAGGCGGTCGACTCTCCCACGACAGACCGGGTATACCCATTTGGCCCTTGCTAGGGAAGTCTTGTGAGCCTGATGCGAACGAGAAGACACGGCCGGAAGACGTGAGCATGAGGGCGTGCTCTAGACCAGAGACAATATCTGTAACGCGCTCATTCCACCCCAGATTCTCAGGCGTGCGCTTTCGGTACGAGATGTTGTTGGAACCGCCCCAGAAGGGGATCCAGGACCCAGATGGCGGCTTGGGACCCTCCTTCTGCTCCGCCTGCGAGACGGGTATAGAGTATACGGAGCCGCTCTTGGAAAGGCCAATAATTCGATCGCGTGAGATGGCCAGTGATGTAAGGTTGTGGCCAGTAAGAGTCTTGGTAGGCTCCTTGATGTCGTTGGCGAAGGCGGTGCCCCACTGTAGGAGATCGCCCTTCTCGTCAATGGCAGCACCGAAATTTCTGTCCAGCTTGATATCTCTCAGCAGCTTTCCGTCAAAGAAAGCCAGCCGTCTTGGTGTCTTTATGTATCTTTCGTCTGAGTCGGGTGCCACGACCTTGCCCGCATTTGAGCCCCATGTGTACACGCCAGGATTCTCCCAGCTCTTTATCACCTGAAGGTGCTGTGAGCTGATGATGTTCCTGTTGTCGTCGCTCGATGTGGCCTGCCGCCGGGGCGCTTCAAACTTTATTTCGGGCTCCTCTTGCTCTTCAGCGTGCGCATCTCGTATGATGGACTCGCCATTGCACCATTGCCATGCGGTGGCGGTGGCCCAGAGCGCGCCGACGGTAGCTATGGATCGGACGAAATGCTGTTGTCGTCGCTGTGCATACGGATGCGAGGCTGTGCGGACCTGGGATGGCGGGGGTCTGGTCGCTATGTGCCTAGATAGCCGCGGGGCATGAGGCGTTCGTAGGGATGCGCGTGCCACACATTTGGTGCTGAGCATGGTGTAGTATGTCGAGACTTGTGGGTTAGTGGTAGCAGTGTTGACCCAAAAGTGTCTGGTTGAATCAAGAGAACGACATTTGCAACAATGTCCAAAGGTCCGATTATAGTTGGAGCATTGGTAATTGGACAGCTACGATAGTTTCTCGAAATCGTAGCGGCGTGATCAATGACGCTCTAGACTTTCTCCACAGTTGACAGCGAGGCTAGCACCAATCCAGACTGGCGCCATCCGCTGCACCCCCACGAGCATCACCGAGCTCCGACATGTGGAAGCTGGCGTCGTCGTGTTTGCTGTCCACAGACAAGAACCCCGCCAGCTTCCGAATTGCGCGAGAATGTATGAGGCAGACTCGTGGTACACGGCCTTTGTTCCGCGCACAGCCAAGCCCCAGGAAAAGGGCAAGCACCGCCGGAGAGAGAGCCTGCTTAAACAGGAGAACGTAAGCCCACCATCCGCTGCCGGGTACGTTTGAGCACTTCTGATGATTGTACTTTGCAGGAGAGTCAGGCTGACTTGGAGCGCGTAGAAGCCATCCCAGAGACGGCAGATGAGGACCGACCCGGAAAGCTCAATGGCCCTCCACCGGCCACCGTGGCCAGACGCGCCAAGTCGTACAGCGACTTCTACACGGTCGTGCGCGCACACCTGAGGAAGGAAAGGGCACTGGAGAAGAAGAAGTCGCGTGAGGACATCAGCACCGAGCTCGAGTTTGCCGATTGGTATGGCGGCCTCAGCGACGAGCTGCTGGAAGCCAGCCACGACGAGTACAGGCTCTACCAGCACCAGCTGCACATGACGCGAAACCACCTCGAGAACATCAGCTCTGACACTACTTCCACCCTCCATGTCCTCTCCTCCCTCTCCGAATCCTTCAAGGTCGTCGAAGCCCAGACAAACGCATTTCGCACACAATGTGAAGGCCTCATCGACGACCAGAAGCGCATTACCAAGCTCGCCGATGACATGGAACAGAACCTCCGATACTATCTGTATCTCGAACCTACTACGAAACGGCTCAATGCTCCAGGCGCGGGCAAGATAGTGCGGGGCAGCGAATTCGTCGAGATGCTGGCGAATTTGGACAGCTGTCTAGAATACATGCAGGCGCATTCCAAACACCGTGAGGCCGAAATGTACCGATCCAGATACCGACTACTCCTCACTCGCGCCCTTACGCTCATCCGTGTTCATTTCACCGAAGCACTTCGAGAGATTGCAGCCGATGTATCCAAGCGGATAGCGGATAGACAACTGAACGACACGACCATGTCTGCACTGCTATACGCCAAGTTCCGCGTCGGAGCCCCAGAGTTGAAGAGTATAGGCATCGAGATACAGAAGCGCGCAGTGCTGCCAGCTGGAGCTGCGCCAGGTGGCGAAGCAGAGTACCAAAGTCTAATGAATGAGCTGTACCAGAGCTACTCGGCCACCCGTGGCCGCCTCATCCTCCCTATCGTTACAAAGAAAATCGGAGACATCGCACAAGCTCCAAGCACATCGACAGACCTCGTAGCTTTTGCGCGGAGTAGCATAAGCTACATACGAGGCATATGTTTCGACGAGTGCGACTTATGGCGGGAATGGTTCGACGGCGACGGCGGATTGTACGACTTCTTGGAAGCCGTGTGTGAACCTCTCTACGACTATCTCCGACCACGCACTATCCATGAGACGCAAATACTTAAGCTGTGCGAGTTATGTACCCTGATACAAACACGATACATGGAGGAGGAAGAGGAAGAATCGCCCGTTGACGCAAACAAGCTGGACTTCTCTGTCATTGTACATCCCGCACTGCAAGATGCACAAAACAGATTGGTCTTCCTATCGCTTGCAATTCTGCGGGATGATATTGAGAGATACAAGCCCAAACCAGAAGATCTCGACTACCCAGCAAAGAACAAGAAGCACGCCACCTCCGGAACAAAATCGAACCAACCCGTCTTGTCTGGCAAGAAGCAACCCAAGTCCGAAGTGCCGCCCACCCCATTGATGCCAAAGACGCCTACAATAGTCGAGGACGACGATCCAGATGCGCGGTGGAACTTCAACACTGAAGCGGCCTTCAAAGACTGGTACCCTACATTGCGTAAAGCGATCTGGTTGCTCAGCAAAATCTACAGGCTTGTCCATGTAGGTTCTTGAACGGTCGCATAACCTGTCCATGCTAATATGCTCCCAGTCCTCTGTGTTCGACGACTTGGCCCATCATATTGTTCACAGTACTACGCTTTCGCTTGCTCAAGCCAGTATATTGCTAGCCAAATCCGCCTCGCCGACCGACGCTGCTCTCTTCCTCGTATCGCACCTCCTACTCCTGAAGCAGCAGATTGTGGCTTTCGACATAGAGTTCGTTACACCAGAAACTGAAGTCCAATACAACTTCTCCAGTGTCACAAACACGTTCTGGGAGCTGCGTGCTCGTGGTGGTCTCTTCAACCCGCGCAACCTGGTCGGTCTGCTCATCCCCAAAGTTGTAGAGAACATGTTGGATGCCAAAGCTGAAGTAGACGCGCGCCTACGTCAAGCGATTAACGACTTCACCGGACAATTTGTCACTCGCATGACAGCTCCGATCGATACCAAGAACAACAAGAAGGTACCACCGAGCGAGGCCCCTGCGCGCACGAGCAAGATCCGACAGAACATCGAACAAGAGACACCGTTCTTACGATCGAAACTGGAAGAATACATTACCGACGCACGTACACGCGAGATGCTCGTGGCAGCTGTAATGGAATCTGTCACGCAGACGTATGAAGATTGGTACGACACGTCATACTCTCCATCCCTTGCCAACCAAAACGGGATCAGCAGAAGCACCAAGGGCAAGGGTAGGGAGGATGGCGTG